CAAAAAAAATCCCTCTGATTTTTAGTTATGCTGAGGTCAGCCAACATCTTCCCTATGGAATAGATGTAGGCCGTTAAGAAACATGGCTCTCTTCCTGCTGATAACTTCTTCAGAGAGCAATTGGGAACTTCAAGCTGTTAGTAAATATTTGGGTTTCCTCAGTAGTAAGAGTAACAACATTTCTCAAGATTGGGTGAGCAATCTGTCTTTATAATACAAGTACATTTCCATACTTGGCTCTCAGTAGATCCAAATCCACATTTCTCTTCCATCTGAATTTTAAAGAGCGTGCACGTGTTTGTGATGAAGCAGGTAGTAAAAGAGAGTGGTGAAACTGAAGTCCTGTTATGGTGTTTTGTCACAAGTGTACTACATTAAATTGCTGCAGCTCTCAAGTTATCTGAGACCTCCTAGAAGCGAAGGTGATGTTTTATCCTTATTCCTTTGAATGATGCTTTCATTGGCCAGTTATTCAGCATTCTGCCAAAGCTGTCAGACACATGGCATTTTTTTCTTAATGTTAACATGGCTTTTCTAATCACTTCTGTCCCACAGTCCTTTGTTAACTGAGGCTGATGTCATTTGATCTCTCTCACAAAAGAATTTGAGATTGAGACTGTCTGCCATTGTTGCTGCAGAGAACAGAGTATTAGGGGAAGAGTTTGTGCAGTAACAACAAAAAATGCTTTGAGGCTCTTCTCAAAAGTTAACCACTGTTCGGATGAATGAGTACTTGCTGAAAATGAGAATGTTCCTTAGAGGCAACCCTCTGCATCTCATGATTTTTATTAATTGTTATGAAGATGGGCACTTTGTTGTTGCTGTTTACTGTTCATAAAGGATTCAGATGGAGGTTACACTTTTTGTGACAGATGAAGAAGCTCTTATCCATGCTGAATAAGAACCCAACGCATTTTACCTACTGGATTTATTCACTTTTTATCTGTCTATCTATCTATCTATCTATCTATCTATCTATCTATCTTATCTATCTATTTTAAACACAAATTCTGTGTATGTAACATTTTTCCCCACTTGCTTTGCTTGGAAACTCAGGAGAAAAATTCTGTTACGTATAACAGACTGACAGCTGAGACTACAAAAGGAAAACCAGATGGCAGCACAACAGAAGCACCAGATGTACATTTCTCCATCTTTTGTGTGGATGGAGACATCTCAGAATGCTAATTTCTAATATTATTTACAGAAGAGTACCTTGCTCACTTATCACTCCCCATGTTTGAAAATTGAGAACTTTTCTCTGATGCTTAAGTAAGGGTATATTTCTGTGTGCCTGCCAGTATAAAAAATTTGCGTACAGGTCACAGACAAACATCCCTGCTATGGGCAATTATGTTCCAAAATTAAGGTGCCCAGACAAGCACCTGGAGTTCATCTACCAGCAAACTTCAGTTAAGTGCTTTGTATTGCAGATGCTCATTCTGTGAGAGAGATTAAGGCTTTATGTTGTGGGGAGAGCAGGTGAATGTTGCTGAAATGAGGACTGCATAGGAGGAAGAGGATGTTTACATTTTCCCTGTATTCTCTTAACAGCTTTCAATGAAGAAATTTAAACACGCAACTCTTTAACCGCTTTATTTCAAGTCCAGCTTACTGAGGTTTGTTTGATATCTTGCTAAAATAGTTCATTTCCAGCTCAGTTGGAACTTCAGATCTTTTGTTCTGAAATCACTTTCTTAAGCTGCTGTTAGATTTTTATTATTATTATTATTTTTTGTCTAAAGACAAGTACGCTGTGCATTTCTTCAATGGAGGTTGTCCCTGCACTGCGATCAGTGTAACTGGGAGTTGAGTGCTTTGTAAAATAACATTTAAATTCTTGACAGTAAAGACTGACACGGTTTGAAACATTACAAACAGAAAATCCTGGAAAACAGAATTGTGTGCCAGGAGCACACAATAAAATATTGGAAAATTCCAATTTTATTTCTGAACAAGTGTTGGTGTTCTGGCAGTGTTCTACAGTGCCAGTCCCAATGAAATGTTCAGTTCAGATTCCTACCCTCAGGCTCAAGTTTCACCAAGATACATACACTTATGGATTTCTAGGTGGAGGGCTTAGGTGCTGTTGTGAGGTTTGGAAGAAGAATGCGACTAAGAGTGTTAGGAAGCTAATTACACCTTGAAAGCAGCACTGCATAGCTGACGTTCCTTTGTTTTGTTATATGCTCCGAATGAAATAAAAAGGCAACTTCAGTATGGTGTTTCATCCAAAGAAGGCATAATCTGAAAGATTAAAGTTTGGAAATAGTTATGAAAATACATCACTTTTTCAATTGACGATATATTACAGTAACAGGGTCAGATTTTGGATGAGAGGCTAGATTGAAAAAGGTTAGCAGCAGTTCTAAGCTAAATTTGTCCTGCAAACCTTGACACCAGTCTTCTGTTTTTTGCTTCATAAATTATCCATGAAACATAGAACTCCAAGGATGCACATTTTAAGTGAGCTCTTCCAGTGGCTGTTTCTCAGAGGAGAACTTTCTCCTGCTGTTCAACAATGTCCTTGGCCCTGCTTCTCACGCAAACAGATGTAAATCAGAAGTAATGGTTGTGAAGCCTATGAAATACAGCAGTGTAAAAAGTTAGTATGCAAGTATCAAAGATTTTTCCTACTGCTGTTAATTTGTTCTGCCTTTTCCTTTCCTGTTTAGAAAGGTAATTCTGGAGATAAATCACATGTCCGAGAGATGAAATTGCATTGACTTTACCACATCAAAGTCAGCCTGGTTTTACTTTACTAACATCAGTGTAGCTGTGGCAGTGATGTACTTAACTTCAAGTTGATGAGTTATGAAGAAGCTTACTTCTTTCTGGAAAAAATCCACTTTCCTTATGGGAGCTAACTTTCATCCAGGTGCTCATTCTACTGCCAGGCTTAGGATCTTCTCTAAAGTCTCCTGATCTCCACTGCTTTGAGGGCAACATATCCTCTGAGGTGCAAGCCAGGCTGTGCCTCTTCTCCCTCATACCAAGCATCTGCACTGCCTTGTTACGTCCATTGCAACCAGGTGCTTTTTTCACTGCCTCAGACATCATTTTGAGAAAGGTGTTCAGTTATTTCTTCTGTGCGAGATTCCTGTGTTGCAAGCAAACGAAGCTTTGTGTGTTGTGATGCAAAGAGGATGCTGTCTGTCTGCTGTGAAAGTGAAAGCTCAGACGCATCTGCAGCTCTAGAACAGGTTGAACTTGAATCTTACTCAGAGCATATTCACCAGCACTAAATCTGCCTGCTGCACAGTCAGCAGTGTAACAGTAGGAAAAAGAAGAATGAGAGAAGAACAAAGCCTCATTTCCTATGTCTGTAGGGGTAAATGTTATCATTGGATGAACTGCAAGGTCACCTAAAATACAATGGGGAAAAAAAGTTAAATGAAATTAGATCACTGTTTACACCTTCTTTGGAAAAAACAAGAACTATACCTGTGTTCCCCAAAAATTGTGGTCCTTTCCTCAGCTGCAAGGCCTACTACAGAGTGAAATTCTCCTATGTCAGAATGAGCTGGACGGGTGGGAGAGCTCCCAGCTCATCCTAAATACTGAACATTGACTATCCCAGGCCAACCTTGTGCTAAGAACTGCTCTAGAAGCAGTGTAGACGGCCAGGCTCCAGTGACCACAAACAGATACTGTTGGAAGTATCAAGATGTGGCCTCAAGATATTTTTTCAGCACATCTACTGACATGTTGCACTGACACACCTAAAGTGAAAGCAGTCTCTTCTGTTGCTTTGATGTCTAAGAAGAAGAGGAACCAAAACAAAGTCCTATTTTTAACAAAGCTGTGCTTCTGCAGCAAGTAGCACTTCAACTCTGAAGTCAGCCAGAATAAATGAATTTACCCAGCACCTGATCTGGTACGAGAGAAGTACAGCTAGACCAGGCTTTTTCTTGGAATGAATGAAGGAGGCAAAGAGGGCCTGAATCTGATATAGATAACTTAATTGCAAAAAAAGCAGTTTGCTTATCTGTGATCTGTGAATTCAAGATTTGCTTCCAGTAGCCTCTAAAAATCCACAGTGCCTGCAGTCATCCCTACCGTGTCTTAGCTAAGTGCTCAGGGAAAGCAAATATAGCCAAGTTAGAATTTTGAAGAATTTGTTCATTTATTTGTTAATAAGAATTTTGTTTTGTTTTAAATAAGAATTATTGTTATAAGAATTTGTTCATTTATTCATGCTCTAAATTAGATCAGGAACTGTGGCTTAAATAGATCACCTGATGTTAACTAAAATACCAAATCATAATTAGCGAGGAAAATTAAGGCTGGTGGCTAAGCCCATCTACCACTCATACACAAATCTGATTAGGCTCAAACATATGCACCAACAATGTGCAGTATGTTATTTGCTGAGCACACGCAAAATGATTTCCCACAGAAGCCAGTAACAAACTTAAATATTGTGGTATTTTCCTAATGCTCTTTGGAGAACAATCCATTTTTATAACGGCACATTGTCCAGAGCGGCAGAATTATAAATCACGGTAGTGTTGCCAGATACCACTCCTACACAAACACATACTGGGCAAGGTTTGAGGGAATATCGCTTACTGAGGTGACAAGTGACGGCCTACACGTGCTACGCATGAGCCACACAGCCTGATTTCTGAGGGGTACGTCACATCAAGCTGCAGAGGTTGGGTGGAAACAAGGAATGCTTTGCCTATGGCACTTGATGCAGTGAAAGACCAGGGCAGAGGCACGTTCCCTAGTGCCGGTTCTGGGTGTCCTTTGCCTCCAGTCAGACCTCCATCTTTGCCGTCTGCATGTTAACCCATCAGCGCATTCCTTCGCACCGCAGCTGCAAAGAGACAAAGCTGTGGACTGAGGGGAGCACCGGTCGTTTCCTTGGAGCTGTCTGCGGCGGGGCGGCAGCGGATGCAGCCTGCAGGGTGCTTGATGGGAGGGTGCCACACACAGACCTGCAGCCACCCGGCCCTGCGGCACAGGGTGCATAAACTGAGAGAGACTTTACGGGAATGAGATTATGCTGCTGCTCCCTCGGGGACGTTGTGGGGATTATTTACGTCATTTCTGTCTCCATATGCTTCCCATCGTCTGCACTGAAACGCTTCCGAGGTTCAGGTAAAAGACTGTAAATGGAGAATACAAGGGCAGCCTGTCGGCAAGCGACACCACTCATAACGCAACTCAGCACCAGGAATAAACAGGGACCGTTCTGTGCAGAAAGGCGGCGGGGGTCGATACGGAAACAGCACCTTCCCGCCGTGCTCTGGAAGCAGCGCGCACCCGGCGCTGGAGCTAGCGACGCGGGGAACGCCCTCAGCGCCGCCGCCCGCAGCTGGAGGCAGCCGCGCCCGGCTCCGCCTCCCACCGCGCCCCGCCTCTCGGCTTCCATTGCCCGCGCCGGGCGCCCGAGGTTGCTTTGCGCCCGGCGGCGGAGCGCTGACATCGCGGGGCGGTGAGCGCCGGCGGAGCCAGGCTGAGGCCGCCGCTGCCGGGAAGCTGGGCGGGGAGACGGCCGAGATGGTGGAGGACGGCAGCGAGGAAGAGGAGGGGGAGGCGGAGGGAGAGAGAGGGGAGATGCTGGGAGCCCCGCAGCACAACGGCTTCCTCCCCGGCAAGGAAGCGGAGAACGGCGGCCCCGGAGGATGCGCGGCGGCCGGGACCGGGGCGGGCGGGCGGGCGGAGACGCGGCTGTCGCGGCGGCGGCTGGCGGTGCTGGCCGTGTTCAGCTGCTACTCGCTGGTGAACGCTTTCCAGTGGATCCAGTACAGCATCCTTAGCAACGTCTTCGTCCACTTCTACGGCGTGTCCTTCACGGAGATAGACTGGCTCTCCATGGTGTACATGGTGGCCTACGTGCCGCTCATCCTGCCCGCCACCTGGCTGCTGGACGCCCGCGGCCTTCGCCTCACGGCGCTGCTGGGCGCGGGGCTGAACGCGCTGGGCGCGTGGCTCAAGTGCGCCAGCCTGGCGCCCGGCCGCTACGCGTTCACCATGGCGGCGCAGGCCGTGTGCGCCGTCGCGCAGGTCTTCATCCTGGGGCTGCCCTCCCGCATCGCTTCCGTCTGGTTCGGCCCCGCCGAGGTCTCCACCGCCTGCTCCGTGGCCGTGCTGGGCAATCAGGTGAGGGGCTGGCGCCGGCTTCGAGCCTGCGTGCAGGGGAGGTGGGCTGAGGCGGTGTGAAGTGCCACGAGTCACGGGGAATTAAGGTCGGAGAGACCTTTGAGGTCATCCCGTCCAACCCCGACCCATCGCCGCTTTGCCCGCTGACCGCGTCCCTCAGTGCCGCATCTCCGGTTTCCTGAACGCCTCCGAGGACGGTGCCTCCACACGTCCCTGGGCGCCTGTGCCAACTGCCTCGCCGCTATTTCTGAGGAGTAATGTTCCCCCATAGGCGGTGTGAGGTGACGGTGGAGTGAGGCGGTGGCATGAGGTGCCGGTGTAACTGAGTCGGATCTCCTCACGTCCCCTGCTGGTTTATCAGAGCTGGACCGGGCACCTCTGGAAGCACAGGTGGAGATGAGTGCTGCTCCTTGTCCTTCCCCCATCACCTTATTCTCAATCCTGTCCCTGCTCATCTGTGGCAGCAAAATGGTGAAACTCCCACCAAGGCCACTGGTGCAGGCTTAGGTCTTAGGTGTGGTTTCGTTAAGATAATAGAGATTATGTTTCTTGTCTCATGAGTCTGATGATTTATGACTGTGCACTTTGGATTATTGGTAATATTTAGGTTAAGGTTCTTGCTATATTCTACTTCTGTATTAACAGCTGTTCTATTGCTTTCCCACTACAATTAATCCTGTGCCTTTTTGCTATCCACAATCAGGTTTAAGATTTCTTTGTCAGCTACATCTCTGCGTTTCAGACGCTTACCTGTCCTTCCAGTGGCAAGGAGCTGCTAGGGCCTCCATTTGGCAGGACAGTGGCCAAGGCTTCCCCAGCTAATGCAGAAACTGGGTGTGGGGCTGTGCATAGTTCTGATGCTGGGGAAGGAGAGGAACAGCAGTGCAAGGATTGTCCTGGATCACACACAAGTTATCTGCCGAAGTGCTGCTTACTTGCAGCTGAAACATATATCTCTGAGAGTGTGGCTGTTTGCTTGTCAAGGGTTGTTTTGAGCACCATGCTTTCAAAAGTAGTTTCTCAGTTGGGTATAGCAGGTTCTTTCTTGATCCTTCTGACCATAATTCTCTACTGCAGTTCTCTGTATGAAAAAGGTTAAAAAAAAAAATAAAATAAAAAAAATGATGGCACAGGATGCTTGTGGGTAACTACATAGTACTGCTCTGATGGCGAATAAAAGTCCTACACATTAAGAGAAAGTATAATAGTGTACTCTGTTTATGAGCTTCATACACTGAAGGGTGAGGGTAGAAAGAAATGAGTTCTTCAGGTGAACACTGAATACTGCTTAAATCTGATGGCCTTTGGGGGAGGGAAAGTAGGGAAAGACTTACAAGGCAAATAAATGCACAAAGGCTGCTTTGAGAGCCTACTGGCACATCTCTGGTGTGAGTGCTCTCTGAGTTGTGAATTTGCCATTCTGACAGTCATTGACATTTTATTTATTTTAACCTGAAATAGATGCAGGTTTTTTTTTTTTAAGTCTAAGAATTTGTTCTTGCACTTAAGAATACAGCTTAGTTTTGTATGAGTGACAAAGACAAGTTGCAGAGTAATTTAAGGCTGTTGTTTCTTGACATTTCTTAATGCTTTATACATATACCCGAAATGTCAGGAAAATGATTTTTTTGTTTCTTTTCTTGCTTTTACAGCTTGGCACTGCCATTGGCTTTTTGTTGCCACCTGTCTTGGTTCCAAATACCCCTGATGATATTGATCTAATGGCACATAATATAAGCATAATGTTCTATGGAACAGCAATAGTATCCACACTTTTGTTCTTCTTAACAGGAGTTGGTAAGTGTTTTGTTCTTACAGTGTGAAAGTACTGTGGCCATAGGGGGTGTTTATGCTGTTGTACTTCGGGCATCTGACTTAGCCCTCCGCAGTTGAATTTACCTCTTCTCAGGTTACTTGTGCTCACTGTCTGTGGTATCAGGGCTAAGAGACAGACATTACTGTGTGTCATGCTTCACGTGGAGCAATCTCTCTCAGGACACAGGTTTTTTGCTAGAACCCATGAGGATACTATGATGTAATGGAAATTCTTTCTGTTATTCTTACAATTTAGATGTGAAGGGATAGGGATGCTGCATGTGAAGTCAGGCTCTAACTATATGCTGGCAGCAGTGAGATGTGAACAAGTTAATTAACGCATCTATTCTGGCTGTGACTTGTTTCTTGCATGAGGAAAATCTAGAATGTATATTTGGAAGCATTGAAAAGACAAATTAATCCTGTTAAATGTACTGAACTAGAAGACTTCATCTTTCAAGAAAGAAACAGGCATGACTCTGGAAAATACAGATGAAAATCTTTTTTTTCCCCTAGTGTTCAAAGAGAAGCCCAAATACCCTCCCAGTCACTCTCAAGCACTCCTGCAAGCTATGCCTCCTGAGGATTACTCCTACAAGCAGTCAATTATTAATTTGATCAAAAATGTCCCATTTGTGCTTCTACTGATCAGCTATGGTAAGTGGTTCTGTCTGGCTGTTGTCTGGCAGAGCAGTTCCAATGTGTGCCAGAAGCATGGTGAGGTTTAATTGTGTTTTTTTTTGGCTGAGGGAGGGATGTCAAACTACTACATATTAAGCAGCCTATGGAAAGCCCTGCAGAGTTTGAGATGCCATTTATAGGTCTGGAGAAGAGATGCGTATGGTAAATGAAAGGTTATTCCTCTGGTCTGAGTCTTGGATGCCAAAAGATTAACTCTGTGGTAGCAGATCTGTGTTGCTAGATGTGGGGTGACTGAAGCTGCTCTTTTGCTGTTGCAGGAATTATGACTGGAACATTTTATTCTGTTTCCACATTGTTAAACCAGATGATAGTAACTCATTATGAGGTAAGTATTGTTTTGTTTTTGTTTTTTAATTTTATATTTGCAGAGGTGATTTGGTTTGGTTTCCTTTGTACCCCCCCATACAGTTTCTTGCATCATACAGCTGTGGGAGTCATAGGAATGTTTGCCTTATGACTGCCAAGAGGTCTGAACTTGACTCTGAGTGGAAACAAGTTATTAATGAGCACCATATAAATATTTGTTGAAAGGGAGAAGAAGTGAACGCTGGGAGAATTGGCTTGACACTGGTGGTGGCAGGAATGGTGGGTTCGATTATTTGTGGTTTGTGGCTGGATTACACTAAAACGTACAAGTAAGTGTGGGTAGGCATGTATGGGGCTAAGGGTAGGAGTCTGGTGCAATTATGTTAGAAAAATACTGCAAGTGTGGAGGTGAGCTGATGATAAAATGCAGCACATCCCTGATCTTCTAGCAGCCTTGATGAAGATGAGTTTCAGAGGCTTCAGCAGAAGTCTGACGCTCTGTTACTGGTTCTTGACCAAAAGAAATGAGAGGGAGTTGTGGAGAATGCAAAGACGTGAAGGGTTTTCTGTCTACTGCTGTCTCTGCAGGGAATGTAATGCTATCAAGAAAAGTGTTGTGTGTCCTACGTGTAGTGGCCAGAAGGAACCCAGTAGGTTCCTTCTTCGTGGAAACCATAAAGGCTCAAAACTTACCCTCCCTTGTTGTGTGAAGCACCCAGTTGAGGGATTCCCAGTTCTTGTATGACTTCTGGACCTGTTAAGAAGCACAACATTGGCTTTCGTTCAGTGGATGATCATGCAGCAGAACTCTGTTTTGGTGTAAGAGCTCTTGGGTCCATCACCCGTGCTGTGGTGCCGCTCCAGGAGTGGGCAGTGCTTCCTCTGCTGACAGCAGAGGAGTTCTCCTTTGGTGATTCTCACATGTGAGCACTGTAGAAACCTACAGGATGCTAGCGCTGTGAATTTGGCTTATAAATGAGTGGTGCATGCTTTAATGTTTTGGGTTACATCCCTCATTCCAGATTTAAAATGTTTTATTTATTTTTCTGACTTACTTCTTAGACTGATTTTTTTTTTTTTTTTTTTTTTTTTTTTTTAATTTTTAAACACTGATATTGATTTGGCTGCTGCTGTTTTGATCTTTATATAATGAATTGTGCTGCAGAATGGCCAAGAGGTGCAGCACAGAACTAAAGGAGAACTAAAATAGTCTTGAGGTAATGGTTTCCTGTACAATTATTTGTTCTTTGAGAGTCTGAGTAGTTCTCTTGGCCTTGAATGAAGCAGCCGTGTAACTAAGGCAATAAGGAGCTGGGGTATGAATGTCTTCTCACTGAAATGCATTATATGGTTAAGTTAGAGTTACAGGAAGCTAATTTAATTATTGTAGAAAGTCAGTTGTTAACAAGAGAGTAAATAATGTTTATATTATTCTTCTGTACTTCAACAATGTGCTATGACCTTATGTTTAAAATGTTAATATGTTGTTATTGTTGTTGCGTTGCAGGCAAACTACTTTGATTGTTTACATTCTCTCCTTCATTGGGATGGTGGTATTCACCTTCACGCTGGACCTCGGATACCTTATAGTGGTGTTTGTGACTGGAGGAGTGCTTGGGTGAGTGATGAAAGGAGGCTAGAAGGCTGATTGCAGTTCTGCTCAGAGGTAGCATTTGACTGCTTTAACTCAGTGTTTCTACTGTGTGTTCTGTCACCATGCTCTCAACCTATGTCTGTGTAGCTAATAGATGTGGTTTATTTGGCAGGCAAAGCAAGCGTTGAATCATATTAGATCTTGAAAACAAACAGTTCAGAGTAGCAGATAATTGGGTACCAGGTGTTGATGCTTGATTTTCATAGCCATAGTAACAGATGAAAGCCATACCCATCATTTTCTTGTTTTCTTCTTCATCAGGTTCTTCATGACCGGCTATCTGCCACTTGGGTTTGAATTTGCAGTGGAAATTACATACCCAGAGTCTGAAGGCACTTCCTCAGGTCTCCTCAATGCATCAGCACAGGTTGCGTCACCTTATTTATTCCAGTGGTGTAAAGTTCAGGAAGGCTGCTCTGCTAGAGTCTAAGTCTTCCTTAGATTTGGCTGCTGATCTCCATTGTGGTGGTGTTGTCCTTTTAAAATATATATATTTTAAAATTATTATTTGGTTCAGTATGATATGGTCTGAATTTGACGACTCTTCTTGATGTGGTACTGATGGATTGACTTGTTTGTAGATATTTGGAATTGTCTTTACGCTTGTTCAAGGAAAGCTTACAACAGACTACAGTCCTCGTGCAGGAAACCTCTTTCTTTGTGCTTGGCTGTTCGTGGGCATTATCTTGACAGGTAACTAAGCAGAAATGTAAGTAATGATATATTTTTAAATGGGGAAAAATGTGGAGTTGAGATGTTTCAAAGACTTAGGATGTATGTGTATTAGTATATGACTTTCTGTCTGGGCTGAGGACCAAAATGACTAGGAAGTGCAGGGTACATTCTAAGTTTTACATGCTTGCTGTGTCCACACACTTTGTTTTAAGGATGGTGTTGCTAATAGGTGAACAACCAGTCATCACCCATTTCTTGAGCCTTGTCCTGAATTTGTGGCAGATGCTTGCCTTCAAAGTAGGTTAGTGAACATAAGCAAATTGGTAAATGCAGACAGTTTGCAGTTTTTCAAATGTAAGAGATGTTGGGGTTTTTTTTTTTTTTTTAATGTGATGTGATTTAGAGAAACCAGCATTTGGAAATATGCTGGAATTGACAAAACCACTAAGCTTTGCTTTAGGTACTCATGTTTTAAAAGCTTTTATTGTCATTTTTTTGCATGTGACTTGTGAGGAGCAAGTTCCGATTGTCACCACTTCAAATTACAAAAGTCAGTGATGTATTTTGAGTCAGTGCTGAAAGCAGCTTCTTAGTGCTTGCACGTGCCCATGAAATGCATGTCATTACAAAGCTTTCTCTTTTTTTTTTTTTTTCTTTTTTTTCCCCAGCCTTAATAAAATCAGATCTGCGAAGACACAATGTGAATTCAGGGATTATGAATATGGATGTGAAAGCTGTAAGTGGTGACTCTTTTACACTGTGATATTACTACACTTGAATGGCTGGCTCCTACTGAATTAATATTGGCAGAAAAGAGCGATTGACAAAAACTTCCTGTGTGACAGTTTTGGTGCTGCTTTGTAAGGACAGAGCTGTGTGGGATGCTGCCATCAGATAATGTTTCTCTCCTTAGCTTCCATGAGAAGTCTCTGCTCTCAGATTTTCCTGAATTTTATATGGCTGGTATTCATCTCTTCTTGAGTGTAGGGTTTATTTATTTTTCCATGTTTGTAAGTAGTTTTGTAAATTGTGGGGCTTTTTTTGCATATTGCTTTAGGAGGTCATGCTATAGATGACACGTTTTATTTTAAACACCTGCCGTTCCTGTAAGTGAAGTCTGTGTCTGATGAACTGAAGTCACGCTGCATTCTTATTCTGTGTTTTCATGAAGAGCCAGGTTGTTCTTCTCTGAGCACCCTATCGAGTTATGGGAGAATGAACACTGTGCTTCCTGCTGTTTATGAGTTCCAAGACCATGGTTCAGCAGATTTTGCAACTAAACACAGTCACGAGTTGAACTAAAACCAACACCTGAAACTTTTTTCACTGCTGTTATTTTCTTGACCCTTTTGATTCAGTTAAGGAAATCAGCTTTCTGAAGTCAGATGTTTTAAGGTCCTTCATATGCATCTTTGTATTATAAAGGTGTCTTGCATATACAACAGCTCTGGTCATCTGCAAGCAGCTTTAGGACTTAAGGTTCAGAAACTTGCAAGTCAATGCCACACAAGCAGACTTTTTTTTTTTTTACCTGAAACCTGTGTGGCTGTGTCTGCACAGTATGACTGTGTGTTTATCAGCTTGGATTAGGGTTATCATGGAGATGGACGTGGTGACTTGTACATAGCAGTCCCTGACTGTTCCACTTTCACTCATTACCCTGTTAAATTACCCTGTTAATTAGCTAGATTGTCACACAACTTCATGAATATTAACCCCAGTAACACAGAAGTGTAGTGTTCTCACTGCAGCATTATCATAGGGGAGTGCTGCCTGTGTTAATAAATGTAGAACAGCTGCCTGTGTGAATAAATCTAAAATAGTACCAATTCTAAACCTTGATTAAGATTCTCCCATATTTAAACCTGATGGAGGAAAAAAAATGGAAGTTAATTTCCACGTGATAAATATCTATATGCTGTAAATGTATGTTTTAAAGTTAAACTAAGGAAGCTCAATTCCATGGATTTTTTTTGGGTTCATTTTTTTTTTTTTTTTTTTTTTTTTTTTTTTAAATCAAAAAGAGAATGGAAAATAGAGCTTTCTGTAAATGTCTCTTCTAGTTGATAAACTACATGTACTATTGTGGTCTAACATACTGTAGTCTAACTCAATAGTTACCCAAGAGTACTGAGGTTGAAAGTGGCTTTGGCTGTACTACAGCTCAATTCTTGATTACTGCTTTCTTTTTTCCACAGGTACCAGTTGACAATCCAGAACGTGAAACTTGTACTGCATTAAAAATTCAGTCAGATTTGTAAGCCTGAAAGAAGACGGCTTAGAAACGCACAATTTCTGTTGAACGCTTAACAAAATTAGTATAGTCACTGGATTTATGTGTATGAGTAGTAAAATGTGTTTGGTGATTTTGGTGACAGTTATGTGGACAGCTATGAAGATGCTGACTTCATTTTGCCCAAGATATAAACAATAGGACTTTGTATGGAATATTTATTGTAACAGACTACAAGTTTTGCTGTTTCGTTAATGAATCACAGAGTCGTAGGGGTTGGAAGGGACTTCTGGGGATCATCGAGTCCAACCCCCTAATGCTCTCCATTTTGGGAAGAAGTGTACGTTCAGGATGCACACCAAAATGTGCATTTGGAATCCTGAAGTACAGCCATGATCAGAAGTATCTTCTCCCCAGGAAATCAGAAGTTAGTTAATTTCTTGTTCAGTTCTTTCTAGTGCTTTTACCAAGTCGGAGTAGGTAGCTGCATGACTGAAGGGTATTCATACTTCTTTCTAATGTCTCTGATGTAAGACAGTATTTCCTTCTGGGAAACTGTCTATAGCACAATTCTGAAAACGTGATAACTGCAATTATGTGTGTTGAGTTTCTTTTGCCGTGAAACTTCTTGATAGATAGTGGAAGATGAGAGAAAATGCTTTTTTTTGTAGGTTCATCAAGCATTTCTGGGGAGATTTAAAGAGCTTCCTACTAGGTATGTTGAAGAAAATACATTTCTTATTAAATAGAAAGAAAAGAAGAAGAAAGACCATTGATTTATCTATCTATCTATGGTGAAGTATTCACAGGCAATGGAATATGATTGCACAGGTTGCCTCCTGAATATTTTGAGTGCTTTCTCAGTTCAAATGAGAGGAACATGTGTTTACAAAGAGATGGTGCCTTTACAAAGTAAAGAAGATCCTTGCCTCATCTTGAGTTTGGCCAGTGCTGCTGAAGAAATTCCATTTTGCTTGTTAAACCTCCTGAATGTTTGTGGAGTATCCGAAAATGTGCTCTATCTGTTGTATTGTTTTTTCTTTCCCCTCCATTTATTTCTCTGTGTTACGTTGTATCATTTGTCTCCTGTAAAATTTTTGTGCTCATTGTGTAACTTAACAGTAAATAATGTCTTGTTCCTCACAGTCAAGAGCTGTAAGGGTGACTGAAAGGAAAATAGTGATGTTTTTCTTTGTCTGATGAAATACTTGCTGTTTAAATAATGAGTCTTAGCTACTAAGTACTAAGCTTCTTTGCTTTTGTATTATAATTGTTTGTATTATTTCTCACTGCAGTGCTACTGATATTATTCTTCACCCTGTGTACTATCTACCCAGCTCCAGAACTGACATCCCTACAGTAATACTGAGGCTCTTCTACTGAAAAGTCCAGCCAGAGTTAGCAGCATTGAGGCTTTAGCAGCCTTTCAGGTGAGCCTGCAGTTTCAGTGCCATCAGTGATGCAGTCTCTGTGTTCCTACAGCTGTAGTGCCATCCAGCAGGTTGAATCCTGCTTGAAGTTTTTCTGTGGGTTACAAATTGATATGGAGAACTTTGCAACTCCCAAGATAGTCTTTCAAGGTGTTAAGTATAATTAAATGCTTTTCTTCTGCCTTGTTTCTCTAAAGATTTAGAGATTTTTTTTTTTTAATATATAAAGCAGAACCTGTATTTGTAGCTTTCTTAACCTAGTGATAAATGCTTCAGACATGAGTAGGCTGAGTGGCAATGTATGTATCTGAAGAAGCCAGGCATATCTGAACATTGGTCTTTCCAAAACAAGCCCATGCCTCTGCCGGAGCCAGCACTAGAGGGAAAGTGGGCATGCTTTGTGGCTCCTGGAGAGGCAAGCTCTATGAGAGGAGTCCTGTGTGAGATAGCTGAAAAGAGATGTTCAGATGGCAGGCAAGAGGATAGGAGTGGAAGTAGAGGTACCTTGTTTATCTCAGTTCTTACATGGAGCGACTAACTGATACCAGCTGCCCCGTTCATGGGTGTACACATTTTCAGCCTGAGTGAGCAAAGTGAAATTTCCTTCCTTTTGCTTTCTGAATGATTTTTGCCTTTAGAGAAGTGGTGACACTATGATACATACATACATATATATAACTCTTCCACAGAATACAGGTATACAGAATGGATGTGCTTTCAGACGTCCAGTAGAGTCTTTGGCAGCATCCAGAATACTTTCTACATATCTGCTAAACACTCTAAAGTTGAGCTCTTAATTTATTTTGGAAATTCCTTTCCCTACTAGATTCCAGTTTGTTTAGTTGTTTTCAGTTGATTATTGAAAACTATTCTAGCCCTACTGGCTCCTTGTGTTTTTCATCTTCTGCCAAATTACTTGGCTGCCCTCTGAAATTGTCCAAACAAGGTTTTTGGCATGCTAAAAAGCCTGCAGGGTTCCTGAAAAGAAAATATTCCTAATAATGAAGACTTAATTACATCCTAGACTTAATGCAGATCAGAAGGAACTTGAAAGTCGGAAACCTGTGAGTATGTATTTATTTGAAAGCTATTTCTGGGCAAGAACTAAGTATAGGAATAAAAGGCTAAGTGGCAAAATGAGGAACAAATAAACCAATACTCTTCTCATCTTTTCACAAAAAGAAAAAAAAAAAAAAGGGTTCTAGCTTGTGGCAGAAACTGCTTTGGGGTAGTTGGGGCTTTATTTTTTGCTTTCTGTTTGTTTTTTTTTAAATAATATCAATCAAATGTGTCTGGAATTGGAAATAGTGTTTCTGACTTTCTGAGCCATCAGATGGTGGCTCAGCCCTCTTCTGGCAGAGACTAAGAATCAAAACTGCTTAAAGAGTAATCAGTCCAGCAATGGGATCGTGTGTGCCAGCTGTGAGAGGACAGAATCAGAAACCATGTGAGGGAGCCATCCCAATTCCATGCATTAATTTGTGCTTTCAGTATGCTCTTCTGCCTATCACAGGAGCGTGTGTCTGCTGTTACCAACTTACGATTCCTAGTGGAAAAAATGCTTTTTGAAAAAGCTTTGGGCTGCTGTGTGTATGACTGAGTGAAATTGGGTTAATTCATATGTATTGCTCTCATTTTTCCATTCCGTGAACTCAATAGTTTTACTTTGTGAATGGGAATGTGGTGTTGGTTTTTATCTTGCTGTACTTGTAACACTTTCTGGAGCATTAGAGACTACAGACAATTCATAGCCCACAAGCTAAGCTGTTGTATCCATGTTTTATCCCCCCTACACACAATGTGCTGCCTGAAATCTGTGAAGAGAAATTGTTAATACACAGAATAGGGTGGAATAAGCAAAAATATGCTCAAGAGAAATGCATTTTCTTGTAAGACCTGTGTTATATACTGCTTGTCTTTGTTCTCTTGGAGATTGTGAAGATTTTTGCTGTAATTTTTGTTATTGTCCTATTCTTTGTTTCAAAATAAAGTTTAAAAAAAAATCCCTATGAATATTCTCTGAATGCAGTATTGTACGTATGTATACATGTGGGTGAAATCATTCTTTACCATTACATGTCACTTATAAAGCTTACAGCATACAACTTGATTGGAGCAAAGCTGCTGGTACAGCTGGTGTGTTAGACTCATTTCGCCCCCCTCCAAAGCTGTCATTTAATGTAGGAAAGCTAAGCTTTATATGTGAATTTTGTACTCTGCACTTAATAAACATGCGTGCATTCATATACAGACTGGATGTTTTCACATTACCCAAGCATTATACACAAGACTATTGGCTTACAGTGAAATCTTGTCAGCATATGAAATTAAAGTGTTAGCACCGATAGCTGAGTTGCACTATTCTGATGCAGTGGTTTCTCCTTTGGTTTGAAGAAGGTCTATGGAGAAAAAGTATGGCTGAGACCTGAAGCAGGGCTGTCCAAAAAGTCAGCTCCTCCAGGGTAGTGCAAAGATTAATTATTTTATTCTCAGATGATTAGTATTGATTCCCAGGACACGAGCTGGGGGCCAAGCAATTCTGAAGGATCCAACTTCAAAGAAAGTAGAGTTGCTGTAAGAAAGTGATTTTAATTTTCACCTTCCTTCTCCACACAGCTCTGAGCTACTTTCTCAAAAGAGATTAATCCTAGAAGGAGGCTGCAGTTCGTGCAGAGCATCAGATGCACCAGCCTCGTGTGGTAAGTCAATGCTAAGTTTCACTTGTATTTGGTTAGAACTGTATTCCTCTATGAAAGTACTTCTATGAAAGCTGTAGGCTTATATTCCCAATTAGTGTTGCAATTTAAACACTCCCACAGCTGGAAGGGAACAATCAGCAAATTATTATTGCCCTAAAGTTCATTCTTTGGCAGACACTTGGTTTTTCTTGAAAGAAAAGAAACTTCACCAGGTACGTGGGAGATGTGAAGGCATCATGACTGTGAGTCAAAGCCATTCTCCAGAGAAAATGCTTTCTTTGTTTCTATAGCTGAGGGGTGCTGTATGTATCCAAAACTAACAAGTGAGATACACTTTCAGAAACTGGACTTTGCATGGTTAAAATCACAGGTAATGAATACTCCGTTTCCTATGCTATAGAAGGCTTCTTAGTGCTTGCTGGATTTCCTCCTTTCTGCCTTTGACAATGGACTTACCTCATCTGACCCTGTTCTGAATTAGTATTTCTATCTTTGCTTAGACAACATCTTTCAGAAGTCAAAGCAATAATATCCTGGACTTTGTATAATAAAGTACTTCAGCAGTCATATCAGTAAAAAATAGGTGAAATGTGGGCAATGTTTAGACGTGGTTTCTGATTAATGAGATAGTGCCTGCTGAATATCAGGTAACATCAGTATTTAGCCTCTAGGGTGCTGACTTCTAATCAGAGGGGAGAATCCTGAAATTGTTGAATCAGGTATAATAGGGACTGCACCACGCATGTGGTCCTTATTCTTTTACTGGTTCTGGTGTCAAGAGAAAAGACATTAAAATGTTATGCTCCCCTTCCTATGTTTGTACATACTGCTATTCTCCGTTATTTCCTTGGAAAATAGCTTGGTTTCCTCAGAATAATTCGTCAGCTAATTCAGAGCAACTTCCAGGTGCAGGAAGAAACCTGCTGAGGTGAGAATGGCTTGCCCTTGGCTTACTAACCAGCTCCATGCACTTCCGTTTGTATACCTTGTGCTCCTAGAGCGCAACTGAAATTCACTTAGGGGTCTATTGCTAAAAGCCTTCAATTCACATGGAAGCTAATGCTTAAAGCCTAAAGTTTCCATGCTTTTTCCTCTTATATTTGCTCAAAAAAAGTATCAAAAGGGTAGAGGAGCCCTCAGAGGCTGAGCTTGACAAAGCCTCCCAGCCCTGACAGCTGATAGAGATATGGAGATCCAGCAGCTTTTGGGAAGCGAAGAGTCTGGGGTGACTTTGCTCCAACATACTTCATCTGCTCTGCCATGGACTGTGAGGGTCTTGCTAGAGTAGCAGAATGAGTATGATTCATGTGATGGGGTGTAATGCAGATGTATGAAAAAAAAATCATTTTGCTCTAGATGACTGTATTTCCTTTAAGACCTTTAACTTTTGAAATTTGACCACAGCATTTGAACTTTATCCTCATCTGCAGACACTTCTGCAGTGTTTTGTCTACTGTTCAGTCATTGCTTTCTTGAGAAGGAGGAGTTTTAATCTGCAGAGCACTGGCATCCAATGAAGCTTGAAGTGCTGTTCCAGATCAAAAGCTGCTTGATGAAATCATCAGTGTTGTGGTGATATTTTGCCATATAGTGGAATGAGAACAGTGAATCACACATTTCTTTGCAGGTTTCACAGAGCACTTTGGTCCTAGCTTGAAGCTAGGGCTTATGACAAGTTTTATTGCTAAACTTGATTACTTTTTCAGTCCACTCTCAAGTACTCCTGATCTTGAGCAGGCAGTGTTTGAATGGGATCCACTTCTCCCCTGGTACAGGAAGCAGTGACTCAGTACTCAAACACAGAGGCTTACTTTGGCAGGGAGCCTGTCCCAACTCTCACCTCAGCTCAACCACTCCAGTTCCCTTGTGACAAGGACTGGGGTGCTGCCAATTGCTGAAGAGATGGAAGCGATCTGGTGTCAGAGGACCAGGTCTTTTTTTTTGTTTGTTTGTTTTTTAGCAACTACCTTTCTTTGCTACCTGTACTGCTATTATGCAGTTTCCCTGAGCAAAGTGGTGGTGTGGAGTGGTTCACCCTGCACCTGAAGGTTATGAAGGAAGTGAGCAGTCCAAAAAAGATGGCTTTTGTAGATTTATGGAAGGTTACTGTAGTGTTTCCTTGTTTTTTACGAGCAGATACTGTAGAGAGTGAATCATATGCTGGCAAGTGAGACCTTCACAACAAGTTGTGTTAATGCAGACATTTCCCCAGACTGGGAGCAAAGCCTTAGAGCAAGACAGCAATGCAGGCTGGCCAGGACATGGTGGGGTGCTGCTCAGTAGCAGAGATCTCCACTGTACCTAGTGCTATTAGCTGTCAGTCAGCAAGGTGACCGTAATGGGAACAGGGTGGGCAGGGCTGTGCTGCTGTTGGCAGGGCTAGCAAAGGTTTATGGGGAGCGTGCTGGAGTGAAATTATATGCTAGTCCTGATGTGTTGTATTTTCCTGCCACTTTGGTTTCATGTGCTGGAAACCTTGCACGTTGTATTAGACTGAGATCAGGTAGAGCCTCATTAAACAAACCCGACTAAATTAGCACTAATGATGTGTTGTGGTAGAGTTAGTGCAGGAGGCCTTGGACCTGGTAAAGGCCCTGGACCTGGTCAGGTGGAAATCAAAAGGCATTGCTGATGTTCTTCATTGCTAAAGCTGAAGCAGTTTGATGCTGTTGTGCTGTGCTGGTGCAGTGGAAAACAAACAAGAGTTTCCAGAAAGGGTTGTTTGGGGGAGTACTCCAAAGCAGCATACCCTCAAATCTTCCTTTCATAGCTTTTTTTTCTTTTTCTTTTTCTTTTTTTTTTTTTTTTAAGATCTACTTTACATTTTTATTTTACCAGCTTTTATGATCACAGTGATTTATACATAAAGTTATCACTCTTAGTGGTTATGCAAACCACTCCTGCAAACTTGCCATTAACATATTACCATGGTGACATCCTTATCACCATTTAACCTTGCAGTTCATTACTAAGCAAATCCCATTCCAGTGTGATTTCCAGGTCAGGATAAAAAGCCCAAACAAACGAGTCTTATCTTCCTCTTCAGGCACTGAGTTTTTCCAGGAAATGGCCTGAGTTTTGCACATCCATCATGCAGTTATGTCAGGCAAACTTTCCAGACCCCATTCTTTTGTTTCCATAGAATCACAGAATCACCAAGTTTGGAAAAAACCTCCAAAATTATGTAGTCCAACTGTCCATCTACCACTGCTAACCCTAAAACCATGTCCCTTTGTACAACATCTGAATGTTTCTTGAGCAGTTCCAGTGAGGGTGACTCCACCACCTCCCTGGGCACCCTGTTCCAGCACCTGACCACTCCTCTTCCAGCAGCTGCAATGGGCTTTGTGGATGAAGTGGGCAACAGGGGTTCATGTTCTTAGCAGAGAGAGCAGCTCCCCCTTTTCTTAGTTTGGGGCTCCCTGCATGCTTGTGGGAAAACTTCCAGGAAGCAGTGCCGATCCTAATATCACCTTGCTGCTATGGTGCAATTAAGAGCCATTAATTTTCCTTCTGTTGGTTGTGTAATAGCACTGCAGGGTGTTCTGAATGCTGTGTGTGAATGAGTCTGCAATTGGAAATAATGAAGGTTAGAACCTTCTTGCATGACTTAATGATCAAATTAGTTCGTTTGACCCAGAAAGCAACTGCGGTGGCACCAAGCTCTGTGTTAGGAAAAGGACCACAGGTTAAGAGTGCTGCTCAGCCCTGTTACTTGAAGAAGGGACCGCAGTGCCCTCTGAGAGGCTCTGAGGCGTGGATGCCCCTGGTAGGCAGGGTCCTGTTTGGCTCTGGCTGACAGCCTTTCTCCAGTCTTCCTGACACCAGCCTCCAGCTGAGATGCCGACAGAAGGGCAGGGCTCACAGGGGACGCCAGCTCCTGCGGGAGGCCGTTAGCAGAAGGCTGGCATACACCCAGGGCTGCTGAAAGCCTTCGTGGAGTGGACAGGGCGCGGCACGGCTCACCCCAGCCTCTGGGTGGCTGAGGGGACAGCTCTCCTCGCTCGCTTGGCGCCACCTACTGGGCTTAGTTGGCGCGTGGGATTTCTGTTATTAGGCAGCTAGTTCGGGGCGCAGTCGGGCTGGGCACGGCTCTCTGAAGGGCCGCGGGGCCAGGCAGCCCTGGGGCGGGAGGCTCGGGTGTCAATCCTGTCGCAGCCCCCGGGCACGGTACCCGGACCGCCGGGGGGCGCCATCGTCGCGGCCGCGCCGGGCAGCATCTCCGCCAATTGTTTCTTCGCCCGTCTCCTGGCCCCGCCCTTCTTTGTTGCGGCCGCCAATAGGAGCGCGCTGAAGGCGGGCGGCAGGCCCGTAGCGTGGTAACGGCGGGGCGGCATGGAGCGGCGAGCCCGCAGAGCGGCCGGGGCGCCCGGGCCGTGGGGCTCAGGGTATCGCGCGGGGGGCGGGTAGCCGCCTTTAGGGCTGGGGTCTCGGCGCGCGCGAGCGCACGTTTGTACCCATCTCTATTGATAGAGGGGGGCGGCGGGGCCCGGACGCCCCCCGCCCGGGGCATGGCGGCGGGGCCATGACGGGAGCGGCGGGCGGCGGCGGCCCCCGCCGGGCGTCGGCTGCGGCCAAGGGCGGGGGCCGCTCCCGGAGCGCTCAGCCGCGGGCGGTGGGCAGCAGCGGCGGCGGCTCGGAGGAGGAGGAGCAGCGGGACGGCGGGGTGCTGTTCCTTGTCAACAAGAGCGGCTTCCCGCTGGACGGACAGACCTGGGAGCGGATGTGGGGGCACGTGGAGCGGGTGCACCCCGACGGCAGCGCCGTGGCCGCCGCCATCCGCAGCGCCGCCTGCCTGGCCCGGGTAAGGCTGCGGGGCGGCGGGAAGGGACTGCGCGGACCTCCTGCGACCCGCTGCGGCGGGTCCGTGCCCGCTGCCGAGCTGCCTCGGCGCCCGGTGGAATGTAATGATTGACGAGCCCCGGGATCGAGTCCGCCGGCTTTGTCCGCGCTGGGTAACGGAGCGCTCGTTCTGTGCACGGCGGCCTCCTGCTCCTAATGGGGTGCGGTGAGGCGAGGGAAGGCAGTTCCACGTGGGCTGCCCGCAGCGAGCCGGGACCTGGCGTTCCGGGCATGGGGTGGTCGCTGGCCGCGCTGCGCCGTTCGGAGCATCGGCCCTCGCGCTGCAGCGGCCGTGCTGTCTGTGGAGGCGTCGCTGCTTAGAAATAGCGATGCAGGGTCAAGGTTTCCCGTTGCTCTACTCCCGAATCCTACTTGCTTTATAAATGCGCGATCCACAGCGCTGTGTCTCCGCTCGGCAGCCCTGACTTCCCCACTTGTATGCACAGAGCTGGCTGCTGCTCTGCTGGCGGGCTGGGACCGGTCCTCTGCAGGGCTGTGCTTTGAGGAGTAGGACAATGCCAGGCAGCAAATGCTGTGACATAATGACAGTCCTGGCAGGAGTTTCCCTGGCCTGAGCCTGGTGTAAAGTGTGACCAGAGGAAACGGAGGGGCTCTTTGCAGATAGACAAGAGTAGGGATGGGAGCTACAGCTCTTCTTCTGTCCCCTCTCGTTTTCCACCACTGCCTGTGCCCCATCTCTGTAGGTACTTCTAGAAACCAGGGATGAACCTGTGGTTAGGAAGCTGGGAACTGTGGAATCTTTCATGCTGCCTGATCCTTGAGAGTGTACGGCACCTTCTGGGGTGTGCTCGGTCCTTTGTGCTTCCAGTGGCGTTAAGCAGGAGCTGCATGCTGCTCAGAAACATGCAGGGATTGAGCTCTAAGCAGGTGGAGCTCTGCCCACTGACCTAGGACACAGCTGGCCCAGATCAGCTTGCCTGGCTGTGGTGTGACCAATGTGGGCCAGGTGCCTGCATAGCCACATTTGTGCCTGGGACTGGCCCAAGATGCAGAGCAGTCCAGAGCCCTTTGTGCTGCAAGCTCTTATGGTGCTGTGGTGATCTTGTTCCACATGTACCTCATGCATATGTGTGAAAGACATTGACATGGAAGGTTTCAGCACCAAAAGCTCAGGCCTGGCCCAGGCCAGCCCAGCGCTGATAATTGGGATGCCTGCACTGCGTGTAGCGAAGGCTGTGAGTCCCAGCACCCATCCTGTCCCCAACAGCTGGGGGCCTAAAGGCTCTCCAGCAGTCCAGCTCTGGTAGTTTTGGTGAGGGCCACCCCACTGCCTCGATGTGTTGTGCATGTGCAGTGCAGGCAGGTTTTTATCTTAAAGGAGAGTCTGTATGGGATTGAGAGCAGCAGCAGTTACATCTGGAAACCTTCATTCACTTTTTTTTTTTTTTATATACTATTTCTGCTCTTGAAACTTGAGCCTTGTCTCAGTGATTCATCCAAGCCAAAGGGGTAGGGGGTGGAAGGAATTTGTGAAACTGAAGAACTACCTCTAATGAAGAGTGTATGCCTGGAAATTTGTACTAAGAAATGCTCACCATCCCCACTCATGACTTGTTGTGGCAGCAGAGCTGTCTGCGTGGTTACCATACCTCTTGTTGCACTGAGGAAGCTAGCAGCACACTGGAGCCACAGCCGTCTGTCTGCTTCCCACTTAAAACACATTTTTGTGTGTCAGTAGTGTGAGTCTCTTCCTATCCCTTTTCCAAGGCCTGTGTACTGTCTGACAGTAGTAGCGAGCTGAATGTGGGTGCTGATTTCCTTGGCAGGTGCTTGTCACAAAGCAAACAGTGAGCAGCTCACTCAGAGCGGAGGTGGGAGCCTGGGCAGCCAGGTCCATGAGAGGGAGGCTCCACCTGTTTTTATAGATGCTGACCCCTTGTTTTGCAGCCTTGCCCCTGCATTAGCTGGGAGATGACCAGGAGCTGCCTCTTCCCTGTGTTGCTGTGGGCTGAGGAGCCACATAGCTGTGGGGATTAGATGTGGATTGAGGGCCTGGCTTCTGATGGTGCTTTGGCACCAGCTGATGCCTTAGGGGATTTCTGAAAAAATCCCATTATGGTACAGTCTCTGTCTCTAAGTGTCTTAATACCATTAGCTGTCTGGTGCCCTCAGATGGCCTTTTGGCCCTACCGATCCCTGCCTGGCAAGTGCTGGGATTGTGTTTCTGTGAGGAGCCTGTGTGTGCGGGCTGCACAGGTCCTGTCCTGTCCCCACGCTGCAGGGTGTGGGCAGTCCCTGTCACAAGTGGGATGGCTTTGTCCTGTGCCCGAGTTCACTAAGGTGGGAGTCATGTGCTGCAAAGCTGCACGGTGTTAAGTGCCTTCATCTGTCTTAGTCAGCCTCCTGTGAGGAGTGGTAGCTGGCTGACCTCTTCTTCTTCTTTCTGTGCCCAGCCCTCGGTTCCGCCCGTGCCCAATTACAAGCTCTCCATGTCCATCCCAGAATGGCTGCAGGCAATACAGACCTACATGAAGATGCTGCAGTATCCTCTGCACAGTGTGTACTCTTGCAAAGAAGGCTGATGTGTCCAGCATGGAGCACTGCCTCATGGGTTAGCAGGGTTTACTGGAGCTGGTCACAAGGGCTGAGGATCATCGGGGGTGAAGGGACAACTCTCAGCACTGCTACAGACTTCTTGAGCCTTTTCTGAGGAGCGTAATGAGCCACAGCAAAGCAGGAGCCATGGGAAGGAGGGAGAGATTTTGCAGCATGCATCTGCATTCTAGCCCTGCAGCCTGCCCCTGGGACAGCTGTATTAAGAGAGGGGTAACAAGGAAGGGCCCTGTCCACATGTCTCAACTGCTTGGAGTTTTCTTTGGAGCGGCATACATCAACCTGGCCTCCCTGCTGCTTTGTCACTGCCCTGTGCCTGATAGCCAACCCTTCCCCACACTGACAGATAATGCTGGGGGAAGCTGCTGGCCTGGATGCTGACTTGGCTGCTCTTTTCTGTTTGCTTTTTTTCTAAACTCTCCCTCTGTGTGTGTGTGCGCTCTGGGGGAAGCAGCGAAGATGAGGAATGAACGTGAAGTCCTGGTAAGGATTAGGAAAGGATCTGGGTGGCAGCTGGAGGAGCATCCAAAAATAGCAGGGCAGAGGTTGGGATCAAAGCCTGGGCAGCAGCTGCAGGGCAGGCACTGCTGTGCAGCCCCTCTTGGGCAGAGAGAGCTACAGGGAGGAGGGCTGCACAGAAGGGGAGGCCATGTCACACAGCTCAAAAAAACACCATCTTTTCCTCCAGTGGTTTTGAAGTGCTGCACTTTGCTATGGAGGAGGAACAAGTCTCAGAGGTTGGGTTTGGCTCTGCGTTCAAAAAGGCTTCAAAGTGTGCTGGGACTGGGGAGCAGGATCCTGGCTTCCTTTGAGGGCTGAAGGAGGCTGTATGTTTTCAGAGCACTCTGTGAAAGGGTCTCATGAATTAAGTTTCAAAAGTGGGTGGGAGGGAAGAAAGTTTTTTTTTTAATGTTTGTTTTCCTGGAAGTCTCTGAACTCTAATTAATGTCAGTTCTGAGCATCCTGATGCAAGCTGAAGATTTGTATAGCCATGGTCACACAGCCAGCAGCTGTGCTGGTTGTACCGTGCTGGGGTTTGGTTGGTGGGTGGCTGTCCTCTGGCATCCTTCATGATGAGCTCTCATGTACTCATGGTGTTAACTTTTGTTCTTGAGTTGCACTTAGGTGGCTAGTTCCATTCTAAGTGCATTGTGTATTTTAGGGAATGATTTATATTTCCTAAGTGTAAATAGATGTATTGCCATGCAGTTGATTTACAGGCTGACTGAGTTAAAACTTACAAAAGGAAATTAGTTCTTTGAAACAGTGGATTATGTTGTTTGGTTTGGGCTCTTGCTTGAAGGGGAGACTTTTTTCAAACTATAACCCAGTTTTTTTCAAATGCAACCCAGTGGCAAATGGGAGCTAGAGGAAAAGAGAATTCACATCTCCCAAATGCCAAGTGTGTCATATTAGACAAGTGACCTTTTTGCTCAATTTTCCATCTAATGCTGATTAATATGTCATGAATTGTGATTTTATTGTTTGTCTGTTTAAGTTGCTTTCCTTAACATACAAAATTCAGATACAATCACACGGGAACTCAGTTCTTCGAGATCAGAAAATCCAGACCTCTAAGTGGGTAAGTGTCTTTGGAGCTGGTATACTGTCATGCTCCCCCATACATACTGAGGGCACTCAGCTGATGCAGAGCAATGTAGTGGTGTGGGAGCTCTCTAGTGCCACTGTCTGTCCTGGCACAGCCAGGGCTGTGTGTCACTACCTTTGCAAGGAGAGTCCCAGCTTGCTGCCTCCTGGGACAAGGATCCGTAGCAAGCCAGCAAGGGGGAGGGCTGAACTTGCTCAGTATCCATGCTGTAGCTGGCCAAGCTTGAATGTGCAGGGCTGGGAAAATTCAATTCTTGTTTGTTGGTGTTGGGCTGGGAGGGCTGGGCTGTTTTTATGGAAAATATATAAGTCTTGTTATTCTGGTTTGCACTATAATACCATTGCTGATGGTAGGAAGAGATCAACTGTGCACATTGCTGCAGAAATCTTAATGTTGTTGTGGGCTCAGTTATTTCACCTTTGAGGATCACAAGGAATAGCTCAAGTCATGGTCTTGGTTCTCCCTTTGCTGGTCCTCTTGTCGTTCCTTCCACCTGGTGTGGATGACAGTGAGTTGCATAATACAAATATGAACATGTGTGCAGGGAGTGTGGCAACAGAGTTGGGACCTCTTGCATGTAAGAGCTGTATCACGGTTACGACAGATCTTTGAAAGGACCCACTAACTTGGCAGATTGGGGTGGGTGGTGATGTTGACAACATTGTGCCTTTTTAATAGGGCAAAATTTAGACAAGCAGAATGTAATGACTCCTGTAGGCTGTCCCATCTAGCTCTCCTCAGCTGTCTGTCACTAATAGTGTGTTGCTGTAAATTTCTTTTCCCATCACAGCTCTAGACTTCAAGTTTTCATCTTGCTGACAGCAATCTTTCCCACTTCCTTTCTCTATGTAATTTTACTGTACTGGTGGAACTTGTTTAGAAGAAATCTTGTGCTTTGAATGATGAATGGGTTTATAGACTCTTAAACCAGTTTTCAGGCTGGTCATTCATTTTTAAAGTTGTCCCATTACTTTTATCCAAGGAAGTGGAGAACGAGATGAACTCACTACTTTAAATGGCTGTGTTCTCTTGGGCTTGATGATAGTCTGGCTTATGAGGATGGTGCTTTTTCTTTAAAGTGAATCAGCGTGGAGGTGTAATCAGGGCTCTGGATCCTCTTCTAAGTGGTCTTATTTCCTCCATTTATCTGCCTTTAATGTTTGTGGGCTTGGGTACTCATGTTTGGCTTCTCTCCTTGTTGCAGTGACTTTTGAGCAATCTAATTTGTGGTGACAGGATTTCAGAAGAGCTACAGCGAGGGCCTCTGGAAATGGTCTGGCTAGTAGGGGCTGGTTTGCCAGGCACAGTTGTCTTCCTTTCTCTTCCATTAGACTTGCACAGTGTGAGCTGCTAAGCCTGCACTGGTTTGCTCCTTGACATAGTGGACAGGGGTGGGCCTGGCACAGGATGTGTGTAGGATCCCTCACTTGCTTTTGAAATAAGGCAGGAGCCTGCTGACAAAGCAAGGTTTGTATTTGCAAGTGGATCTGGCAAGATGCTGCACTATCCATTTCTACCAACTCTTGGAAGCTGAGACTGTTACCAGAGTCGTGATTTATTGCTGCTGAGCATATTGTTTATTTCCTATTGTAAAGGCTCAGGCTAATGAAAGTATTACGAGACCTCTGGCAGCCTGACTTCATGAGAGTGGTGGCTGGACACAAAGAAGTAGAGTGCTAGGTAGAAATGATGAATATTCATAAATTCACGTGAAAGTGTCCTAAAGCAGCTGGAGCATATTAATGAGTATTTCTGTTATGGAGGGAGGACTATTATGGAGATTTACTGTCAGCATCAATGCAGTACATGAGAGAATAAAAATGTCTGGCTGGGCTTAGGAAGGAGGGCATAAATTATCCATAGGAACACATAACATTAAGCAATGCAGGCTTGATACAGCTCTGCCTTTATAATCCCTTTTATGAAGAAGTCAGCTATCAACTTGCATCTAGACTGCCTGGCGCCCTGTGAATTTGTCTGGACTCAAACGACGCTTCTGAAAATGTTAGATTGTGCTGGTGTGGCTTTGTAAGGGGTGGGAGAGATGTGATCCTGAAAGCTGTGTGTTGTTCCTATTGTATTGGCAGCGTGTGTGTGAAACTGGACCTTACCTTGCCTGGGTTTGCTGTACTTGTACAGAACCCAGATTTACAGGTGTAGCATGGATGTTCCTGACCCAGGGCCATGTCCTTGGTTTAGGTTTTGTGGTGTGCCCTTTTATACTGGGGAAGTAAAGGACACTCAGTGGAGTTCTGCTGATATCTGGTAGGTGTGAGAGTGAGGCTGGGATATTTGTGTTTCAGGCACTTACTGATAGGACTGGTTTTCTTTTTTTCATCCAGGATTATACTGGCAGAACTTACATTACAGCTTCTGTTTGTACAACTCTGATTTAAAAATTGGTTGTTCTTCAGTCATCACTCTTTAAAGCTCCCAAGAACGGATTATGTAAGAGCTTCAGAAAAACAAAGTTTCCAGATATTTAATGAAGTCTATGAATGTTAATTCAGTGCTAACACACTTTTATTACTGGCTGTACAACAGGCGATAAACCCTCTGCAGGCTTCTGTTCTAGGATACAGATGTGAGCCACAATGTGGAGCAAGCATCTCTGCTCTGCACAGAGTAATGGGGACAGTGTAGGGAGGTATGATATTGCAGTGTTCCCTTCATTCAGTGTCCTGTTGGTCACTGTAACTCCAGCTGAAGCAATAAAATAAAATAAAAAAGCAACGGATTGTGGGTGCTTTGAGAAATGACAGAGCTGCCTCTGGGATGTGAAGGTAGAGCCATTCTGTGGCAGCAGACAGTCGATGGCAAGAGGAGTGCGATAGGAGCAGACACATGGAATCTATGTAACCAAATAGTAAGGAGGAGAAAAACCACAATACTGTTTCAACACACCATATTATTAAGAAACCCTGATGGGGCTGCAAGGGAAAATGGGCTCATCCCATTTCCAAACAATAGAGTGCAAAGGCTTTTAAACATCTGCTTCTTTCTCACACTGCTATAGTCAGCATGTGGGAGAAGTCCTTTTGCCACTGACACAAACTGGTGGTGAGAAGATCCTTGAGAATGGTGGCTGCACTGCTTTATATCTGTTTACTCCTGTTCGTACTTTTCACTTCTCTTTTTGCTTTGTTTGGGAAGAGTAAACCTGTCAGGAGCCTCTGAGAAGCCAAGAAGAGGGAGGTTCAGTGGGCCTTGTGCAAGTCCTGATGCCTGGAGAAAGAGAATTTAGTAGGAAATATGTGGGAGGATTTTATTATGAGATTTACTGACATCTGTAGAAACCTTGGCGAGGAAAAATGGTTCAGTGCTCCTTAGCATGTTCATCTCTGAATGAGTGTGGTGGGCCCCTGCTGGTGAGGTCCTCTAGCACTGGGCGTGCTAACAGGTTTGAAGCTTTTTCTAACCTGTATGTGAGATAGGAAGGGTGGTTAAGAACCAGGGAGCAAAAGGTATTTGTGTTTCACGTGACGTGCCTGCAGTCATGTCAATGGAAAGCATTCTAAAATGGCAGGCACTAGTCCTCAGTGCAGAAACCAAGGGTGATAATTCAAATGGGCACCTAAAAACACTGAAATAGATTGGAGTCAGTTTACAAGGAGATATTGCTGTGGACCTGGAGGGAGAAGCATGCAGCCTGTTCGTGTTAGCTGTGCTTATCAGGGGCAGAAGTGTTAACTGTGGTCTGGGACAGATACCTGCCTGGCAGATTTTAGGTAATGGTGTAAACACAGCAAAGAGGGAAGTTATATTGGGCAGCTGGGAGCTAGCACAATATGAGATTGCAAGTACTGCACTGGAGAATTGTGGATGTGGAATCTGTTGAGATGACTGGAAGGATTTAAAAGTGTCTGGGACATGATAAAGCTGTAAGGCAACATGAATTTAATTTGACACATTTTATCTCTATGAGATTGTAAAGGCTTTTGTGTGTAAGGGAGGAGTTGCAGAAGTGATCCCTTTAGTATGGCTGTTGGTAGCTTCCAGGTAAGGCAGGGGCATCCAGCCTAAATAAAATGATTCTGACACAGGGACCCAAGCTGGTGAAAAGCTGCACTCAGGAAGTGGCATGCGGACAACAGCTTGTTCTTGGTCTGGCAGAGCTTGTCAGTTGAGGTGTGCAGTAACTGTCCTAGGTCAGTCGTGTTTTTCATTAATGGTGTGGATAAGACTAATTGTTTGCTAATTAATGTGCTTTGCACTTCAAGCTGAACAAAGTGACAAGACTTTGTAAGATTGAACTGGGATTCAGAGTGGTTTTGGAGAGTAGGAGTGGATTGGAACAAACAGGTGTTATTTTAGTAAGGACAGTTGCAGAGTGTGGTTTTGGAAATCTTCAACTGTGAGGATACATGATGGAGAAGGAGAGGCTGGTTTTGCAGAGAAGGATCCGATTTTAGGTATTTATTTTTAAAGACATTCAATGTGAGTCAGCAGGGCCAACAACACACTGAGTTGGGTTGCAAAAATATAGTTGGATTGAAAAGATAATTAGTGTTTGTATTGGAGTGGTGGGATCAAGTAAAGGGCTACAAGTGAAAAGAGAACAAAAGGAAAGCAAGAAACGTTGCCCAAGGTCTAGAAAACATGACTTATGGCAAAGCTTGGGGAGGGAGGGCTATAATAATAATAGTAAATGTGGGTTTACTTTGTCATGTTTGCAAAGGAGAGGTTGATTACAGCCTTATGTATGTATAAATGTCTGTTGCAAAAGGAGAGTTAATAAATGGTCTCCATGTCCACTGTGGATAGCAGAAATAGCTTCTCATTTAAATTGCAAAAATAAAGATTTAGTTTAAACATTAGGGGAGCTTCTCAGATGTGAGGTTAAGCATAGGATGGATTTACTGGTGGCTTCCCAAGCCTTTGAGAACCCAGTTCAAAGTAGGTTGGAAAATTATCAGTGAGGAGCGATTTGGGTTTGGCTTGTGCTACCTTGGGGCAGAGTGGTGGCTTAGGGGTTTTCTGAAGACTGTCTCCAATGCAAATGCAGTTTCTGAGGCTGTGGTTTAACTTAGGCTTGTTAAGAGAGGCAGAGAGGCTCTGGGTGGTTGTTGAACTGGGTCATCCACAAACTCTGTGGCCTGTGTTGCAAATGTGAAGGAAAAAAAAAACTTTGAGTACTGCCCAGGATTGGGCATGACAGGGTGGTGTTGGATGTGGAGATGCTCAGGGCTCTGTTCAGCTGGCTTTCTGTGCTCCATGAACTCACAGAAGTACTGAGCACCCTCTTGTTCCACACTCAGGTGAGACTTGGGCTCGTTCTGCCCAGGAGCTGCCTGGTGGAGCAAGGCTGAGCCCATGAGTTTGGAGAGCCACGTCTGCAGCATGGCTCCTGGGCCCACCAGCCAACAGCTGGCCCTGGGCTTCCCACCTGGGCTTGTCCTTGCAGGGATGGCTGTGGTTCCTGTGTCCTGATGCTGAAAGCAGGAGCTGGACAAGAGGGCTTGCCATGCTCCCTACCAAGCTGAATTAGCCTCCGTAGATGCTATGTAAAGGAATGGGAGAGCAGCTGCTAGCCTGAGTGGGCAGCCAAAATATAGCAGTGTGACTTTGTTTTTGTTTTTTTTTTTTTTAAGCAAGCAAAATGCCTCTGCTGGTCAATTTAAATCTATCTTAATAATTGCATAGCATCTTGAAGGGCTGTACTTGCAAGCAGAGCATATGTTAAATAGAACTCAGTATTTAAGTACCATGGATATTGCTGTGACAGATACATTGGGGCTAATTTGGCTGCTTATTTAGGCCGATTACTTTGAAGCCTCCCTCCCTGGCTGAGGAATCATTAACATTATATATATATAGGCTGACAACTTGACTTGATGGCAGGGAGCTTGTGCAGGCAGCTGTTAGGAGAGCCAGTGCTGCGTGCTGTGGTGAGGCGGTGACCCCAAGCCCAGCAGCCGCAGGAATTGCCTTGCGTTGCTGTGGGAGGATGAAGGGGCCCCATTGTGTCCCTGCCAGACCTGCTGCTTGGTGCTGGGGCTCCTGTCACTGATTGTGAGCATGGTGGAGGCAGGCAGGCTGGCCCTGCTGTGCCCGCTGTACGGCAGGCAGCACGTAAAGAGCAGTTGTTTACAAATGAGGAGATAATTTCTAGCCTGGAATCCCCGTGACAGGCAGTAATAGCAGTGGAAGCTGCGCTGCCATTTACACTGAATACAAGGTTTAGAATGCATGAGATGGCTGAATTGGAAAGTGGGAAAATAGATTAATGGCTTGAGATGCATATTCTCATCATCTTCTCTGGTAGAAATATTTCTCTTTTTATGAAGCTCTCCTCAGAGAGGATTAGAGGAGACTTCAAAATAGAAGTCATCCTTTGTTTTGGCTTTTAGCATTGTCTTGCTGCAATTGAATATCACTTTTCTCCCTCCCGGTAATTTTTTTAAAGAGTCCAGATTGTAACTAAATTTCATGGGCTTGCCATCCCTGGGATGTATTGTTTCTTGCACTCCTGTAAGGAAATCCTGCATTTGGGGCAGCCCAGAGGAGCTGGGGAGCAGTAGGAAGGTAACTTGGCTTGCAGTGTGAGTTATCTGTGCTGGCAGAGCTGCAGAGCAGATTCAATAAAACACCTGAAATTCCAGCCTGCATCTATAGCCATCAGCTCAAAAAAGGACATAATCACTGAGGGGATCAGCTTGGTTGCAGGCATGTTCTTCAGTGCAGAGGGGATTGTGGTGCACAGGGAGCTCCTGATAGGCAGCCCTACGTGTGGGATGACCTGGTGCAGTGCAGGAGGCTGCTGTTCTTCCAGCACTTCCAACGACAGCTGTCGCCTGCTCACAAGGTGCTGCTGTGGTCATTGCATCCACCCAGCAGGAAGTCATGTCCTCTGCATCCCCTGAGGCTCCTCCAGCCCCAGGGACCCGTGCAGTGACCCAGACAGAGCTCCCCAGGAACATCAGAGCACATCTAGCCTGCAGAGATGAGAAATGGGGATGTCTGGTTCCAAGAGTAAGAGAGAACTTTGTTTCAATCATAAAGACTAAAAGCTTTTTGTCTCTGTTCTAGGTTGATGGAAACAGCAAGAGAAATGACCAGGGAGTCCTTACCTATCAAATGCCTTGAAGCAGTCATCCTGGGGATGTATCCTTTCATGTGTCTGTCACTTCTTACTCTGCAGCGCTGTTGAATTTATCAGCTGTCCTGGAGGGTGTCTGAGATGTGCACAGCCAAAGGTGAGTGTACACATTTCAAGGGCTGTCTGTGCTGTAGATTGGTGAGCTGTTGAGATGTGTTAGGAAGAACTGGGGAGGCTGTGCTGTTCACAAGCATCAGCTGGTGTTACAGCTGCCTCCTGCCCCAGTAATTTGTGTAACATCAGGATCTGACCCACAGTGCCCACAAGTGTCTGTCTGTACAATCCTTGCTTTGTTTAGTCGTTTGTTGCCTGTTGCTGTTGAAGCTTGTTAACACATGAGAAACATAGGTTCTGCGCTGTGTTTGTGTAATGTTTGCATACTGAAGTTGTGCTCACTTCTTGTTTCTCAGTCCACAGCTGTGGTTTGTGCAGAAACAGGTGTATACTATAGTTAAATGTTTATGCTCTACCTTAATGTAATGGATATTTCCTACTCAGGTTCAGAAAATAACAAGGGTATTTTTATTTGGAGACTGACTCTCTTTCTAACTCCCTTGTTCTCTCACTAATAAACTAACTTATTTGTCCCCAGATGCTGGAAAAGAGCAAGACAGGCCTACAGGTACAGCTGTGCACTGGATAAACCTCAGCACGGCTGATCAAATTTGATTTCAAACAAAGAAAACCGAATCCCAATGCAGAGCGGCTCCTGACGTGTCTTTGCTGCGTTCTGCTTGCTGCTGCTGCCCCCTCTCGTGGCAGAAGAAATTGGCATGTGTTGTAGTGCCCGGTGCTGGCGAGGGGGTGTCTGAGAGCTGCCCCCTGTGTGCTGCTGCCTCCTCCTGCCTTGGCAGGGCCTGCTGGCGGCTTGGGAGTCCTGAGTGCTTGGTGGCAGCAGGTGGCTCGCACTGACACCAATGTGTGTAGGCCTGTTGTGTTTACCCATGTGTCAGGACTCTATTTTGTATTATTTGGAGAACAAAGTGGGGAGGAAATCCCCAGGAGGAGCTGATGCTGCTCTGCAGTACTGGTAAGTGTCTCTGTGTCTTCTGGTGCTGTATTTCTAGTAGTGAACCACATAGCATTCAGACAGAGAGTGAGAACACTGGTGACATAAAGATGACCTAGGAGTCATGGTAACCTAAGAGTGTGTTTGATAGTTGAAAAGTTTTGACCATTTTATTTTTGATTTCTGAAAAAGCCTTTTTTTCCAAAGTATTTCACCTGCTTTCCTCAAGTCTGATCTCTCTTTTTTTTTTTTTTTTTTTTCTTTTTTTTGTGTGGGGGGGCAAAACAGTTGAAAGCTCTGATTATGCTATTTTGTATCATTTCAAGTTTCTTTGGGGATGGATTTCAAAGCTTTGAATAAATGTTTCTGTGTCAAGACAGTACTTCCAAAATGTGTATGGAAGGCTTTTAGTTGAGGTTGCCTCATGAGAAGGCTTAGCAGGGAGAGTGGGACAGGGCTCTCTTTTCCTTTGGTTTCCAGTTCCTGCACTGGAAGTCCATTGCGTAAGAACAGGGGCTGCCTTCTGGGGTGGTTGTCTAGTAACATGTTCGTTGATGGAAATTAAAAGATACCAGAAAAATATTTAGATTTTATATTAAAGGCGAGGTGTGGGCACACAGAATATCAGTAGCAAGTAGATGGGCCTCCTGAGTGTGTGACTTTTGGAAGTGGCCCTTACAAAGCATGGGTCCCTGCAGAACCTCATGGTGTGCTCCAGATGTGTTTCTGGAGCAGATCTCTGTAACAACATGACCTTGGCTGATTTTTTCCTCAGCTGTGAGACTTTAATCTTCAGTGTCACCCTCTGGATGTGTACTCGGTTAGGCAGCAGCTGTGGCATGCTTTCCAGGGTCAAGCAGCTTCCAAATGAGAGATGCTGTTGCCCTCTGTTCCCTTTTTTGAGTGTCACATCACTGACTTGCATCCTCCTGAGCTGAGCATCCTGGTGTGTGTGTATGTGTGTTAACCTCTGGTTCTCTTTGTCTTTAGAAATAGGGTAATGCTGTGCTGACAGGCCTTGTCCTGTTGCTTGGCTACCAAAAGGAGCGAAGCCCGGCTTTGCTGACAGTGAGCCCTCAGTGTGAGCCTCCCTTCAGAGCACAGCTTGCGCAGAGCAGCTTAGCAAGGTGTCATTTAACTGAACTGCTTGGTGGCTTGTGCAGTTGCCTTTTGCAGTATGGCTTCTTATAAAATACTTCAGCAGTCCCTCTTGGTGCAGAATTAAGTTTTGCATAATTATCATCGCACTGAATATTGAAGCTTTTTTTATCTGGCAGCAAGTAAAATACTGAGCTATTCTAAACACACACAGCAAGGGAGCAGCTGCTGTGAGATTACCAGAAGCTCATACAGATCTTCCAGCATTATAACATTTGCAGCAGTCTGTACAGATCTCCTCCGCATAGCTGTCTGAACTGGCTTTGTGTCTTGTTGCTTTCATGGACTGCTCAGCAGTGCCTGGCTGGAGGCATTCCTCCTGCTGCCCTCTCCAGGATCCTTCTGAGTTTAGCTGTAGATCAGCTGAGTAATTGTATGTTCACTGCATTCATTATGAGCAAGGATCAAAACTACTTGTGCTCAGAAAAGGGAGTAGTAAACCAAAAGGTGCCAAGGGAATTGTATCCAGTTGTATTAAAATGTGGAGAGCGAGTACAGATTCTCAGTGGTCCACAGAGTGCTGTGACAGGTGAATCTAACTTATTCCCACTGACTGCAGTGTCCCTGTCGTGGTTCATGCGAGGTAACCAGCAGACCTGTGCAGTGTATGAGACCTCCTGCTGTCTGATAATGTCATTAACGGGGAGGGCAGAGTTGCCCCAGGAGGAGAGATGATTTAATGGCTTTACACCCTGCCCATTTAATCATTGGGTGATGTTTATCTCTGCTGGAGTCCTTCTTGCCTTGCAGGCAAGGTCCTGGCTGGGAGTGAGTGCTTCAGTTAGGGGCAGATTTTCTTCCTGCCATCACTGCAGGGTGCCTTGGGATATTGACATCCTCTCTGTCCCCTGGTTGCTTTCTGCAAGCTTGTCTGCAGCCTGACATGTTTTCTAACTGGAATAGAAGCAGGGAAGGCCTGCTGAAGAGCTGCAGCCCCTCTGGTAGCTGGGAGGAGCTCAGAGAGCTTGTCATGACTTCCATCTTCATGGCCTAACCTTGAACTAGTCAGCTCAGGCTGCACCTGGGCATTAGAGAGCTGGCTTCCTGCTCAGTCAGCAGGGTCATGCAGACCAGGGATTTCAGTGCTGCATCAGCTGCAGGTTCCCATGAGCAGCCGTGTCTGGCCAGCCAGGCTGCCCTGCCCTCCTCCCTGGCACCTGGCTGCCCTGGCCTGTGCTTACTGTCTGAGCCTCCCTGCCTGCGGTCACATGGTGCATGACAGTCACTCCCTTGGTTTGGACACCAGTGGGCTGGCACCCCGCAGACTGTTCCCTCGCCACCTGTTGAGCTGGCTGCGGTTCCCAGCGGCAGTGGGAGGCTGTTGGTCATAGGCAACACAAGCTCGGGTAGCCATGGGAAGCCAGCTGCTGCGTAGATGGCATCAGCTGCTAAGGCCTATTTCCAGAAATGTCAGTGTCCAAAGCCTGGAGCCACAGTGCTAGCACATGGAAAGATCCCACTCAGATTATGTATTTAAAAATAAAAAAAAAAAAAAGCATTAGAGAAAACCCTTTCTAAATTTGCTCCTGGCAGATGAAGGAGAGTTCCTCTTCTGGCGAGGAGCTGCTCTGCACTCCTCGGCGGGGATCACCTATTTAGGGAATGGTCTGTAACAGAGAGGAAGAATGCTGGGATTTCTGTGGGACTTTTTTGGTAGTAGAGTTTACTAGGGAACAAATTAAAACGCGGAAGGGCCGACTATAAAGCATTGCTGGAGTCATCATGTGGGTATATAGATTTAAAAACAAAACACAAACATCCAGAATCTAGTTTCGCACCAGAGTTTTAAAACAGCGTCTGACTCAGATCATGCCTTAGCTCAGAATGTTCACAGAACTAAAGAATGGTTTGGGTTGGAAGGGACCTTAAAGTCCACCCAGTTCCAACGCCCAGCCATGGGCAGGGCTGCCCCCCCAGCTCAGCTGCCCAGGAACCCATCCAACCTGACTCTGAGTGCCTGCAGGGATGGGGCACCACAGCTTCTCTGGGCAGCTGTGCCAGGGCCTCACTGCCCTCCAAATAAAGAATTTCTATCTAAATTTCCCCTCTTAGTTTAAAGCCGTTCCCCCTTGTCCTATCTACGTTCTCTGGTGGGGCTCCAGATGTTGTCCGTGTGCATTTTTGCAGCGGGGGCAGGAGGTGGTTACCTAGAAGGTGACAGATAGGTTTCCTGGGTGATCATCTGAGGAGATCAGCATCCCTCAATACTGATTTTTGGCTGTATAGCCGCGTGGCTGGGCCCTGGGAAGCTGCTTTGACTTGCACCAGGACCAGATGTGGAGGGCACCGAGCTTTCCTCTCAGCTGCCTGTGCCCTCTCCTGCTCCGTGCTGTGTCAGCATCATGCTGTGCAATTTGCTCCCTGACTCTCCATCCTGCAGTAACAGGCCCAGCTCGGAAGTGTGATTGCAGCCATGGTGGCAGCGTGTCATTGCCTTTTGTTTGCTACAATACAGCTCTACTTGGGCAGAGCAGAAAGGAAAAGAACTAATAATGACACATGGGCGGAGGGGAAGCCCGTTTGCTGTGTATTTCATCTCGGGTGGGGACTCTCATTAAGCAGTCCCTTGGCAGAAGCAACCTGTATCTAAAGGTTAATTTCCACAGCAGTTGTTGCTGGGTTGTTTGATGGCGGGTAATTTCCATCCTCAAAGGAGCCTTTTACTCCTACCCAGCATTTAATGAGATTAAATTGCAACTTCTGCAAGGCCTGGTGGCAGAAGTGTGTATGTGTGGCAGGCGGGTGCCACACTTTGTGTGGGCTCAATAGAAGGGCACTGGGGAGCGAGAGAAAACCCTTTCATCATGAAGGGAAAATAGTGGCGATGTTTGAATGCTTCATATGTGTTAATAAAAGATACTGCTTTTTCAGTTACACAGATTGATAAATACAATGGGCTTCTGTAAGAAACTGTCTGTAGGACAAGTTACTGTAACGTGACTTTGATAGATGCAGGATGCTCCTTTTAAGGCCTGGAGCAAGGTGACCTCAATGAGATGACAGTGGGCTGAGTTTTCCAGTTGTCACAATTGCTGTGGTAAAAATGTTTGAGTATGTGAAATTCAGCAAGTGTTGGGAGGATGATCTGCCCCAAATGTGCTGAAGTGTGCTGCAGCTGTTCCTCGTCACCGCACCTGCCCTGCCTGGGCCAGGAGGCCTTGTGGGCCTCAGTGCCTGGAGCTGGGGCTCAGCTGTCCAGGATTAGCAGCAGGGAGCAGTGCAGACTCAGCACTGATGAGGACCTGCTTGTGTGAGGGATTCTCTCTGTCCTTCCCCCTCTGTGAGGGTCACTGATGTCCTGAGGAAACCAGCTGGGCCAGCACGCAGCTCCCGTCTGAGATCACACATTGCTGTCAGAAAGCTTGGCCCTCAGCCATTTCCACTGGTGCATTTGGAACGGCCAGCCAGCAGTTCAGGGACAAATTCTGCTTTATAAAGGTTTGTTCGTGGCCATATGTGTCTGTGCTAATTTGGAAACAGTAATTGTCAACTCAGGAGCTTGTCTTTATCTCAGCAGTGTGTTACATATATAAAACTGGTCTTGTATCAGGAGTGGCCAGACTGAGGGTCATATTGAAAGACAGATCTGTAACCGTAGAAAGGATTCTGATCTGTTTGTACTGCTTAACGGCTGCAGAGATGTGTGAAAATGAGAATAAACAACCCGAGTCTTACCAAGTGTCAGTGGTTCCCTTTTGGTTTTGGTGTCAGATAAAGGAGCTCCCAGGGATTTGGGGTGGATGCTCTCCTCCAGCATACTGCGCTGAGCGCTGTCACTGTTGCTTTGTTTTTCTGTTCTTCCCCACAGGCATGGTAGAGACAGGCCCTTTCCTGCCTCAACAATTGAGTCTTATTCTCCAAACAGTAAAACGGGCTTTAGTAATATTGACAGTTGCTGGGGCACTCTGAGAATACACTTGTGTTTACGTGGGTTCTGGCAGTGAAAACTGTTGGAGGTCTCACAGCTGTAATGTGGTGCTCCCTTCTCAACCCCGTTTTCGCCTTGACTCAGTGCACAGATACCTAACAAATGGGCAGCCCTCTGTGGAACGATTCCCCATCAGCTTTAAAACCCACTTCTCAGGGAACTATTTTCATCATGTGGTGCTTGGGATTTACTGCAATGGCCGGTATGGATCACTGGGCATGAGCAGGCGCTCGGACCTAATGGACAAACCTCTGACTTACCGAACTCTGAGCGACCTCATCTTTGAATTTGAAGACTCCTATAAGAAGTACTTGCATTCAGTCAAAAAAGTCAAAATCGGATTATATGTTCCGCATGAGCCACACAGCTTTCAGCCCATTGAGTGGAAACAGCTGGTCCTCAACGTATCCAAAATGATGCGCACAGAAGTCAGGAAGGAGCTGGAGAAGTTTGCCAGGGATATGAGGATGAAGGTAGGTCTGGTGCCTGGTTTTAGTTACAGGATCTCTCCTTCAGCCTGGGAAACGCTGGAACCCCACATTCTCCCCTGGCTGTCAAGGAGTCAGCACTCAGATTGTTTTCTGCATGTTTTCTAGCTCTGGATGAGGGTGGCCAGAGGTGGCCATTGAGGCTGAAGCTATGGGGTTTCTGTACAGCTCCAAATCAGGCAGCTTTGGTGTTACATAAGGGCGGATGCCTGCAACACAGGGAAATGGGCCTTTCCTCTTTCCTTCTTTCCTTTTTTTCTGCTGAGAGGTGCAAGTCTGTAGAGGAGCATGATGGCAATCCCCGAGGTATGCGAGCACATGTTGAGGAGAGTCGCTTCTCCATGTAGGGCATGCTTCCCAGTACCCGTGCTTCAGTCACGAGGTAGGTGAGGTGGGGAGGGAAGGAAAGCAAACCCTTGGCAAGATCAAGGGAAGCACAGGGAGAGAGGGCTGGCTGCCAGAGGGCTGCAGGGTTTGGCTGCCCTTGGGGCGAGGGGTGTCCCTGAGCATGCTGCCAGCATTGCTGTGGGCAAGAAGCCGGTCACAGCTAGGGCAGAAGGGGAGCTGGGGCCTCTCCAGCCTTCTGCTGGCAGCAGGAGCTGAGCAGGTGCACTGCTAAGTATGGGGCTGGCTCTTTTGGAGTGGTATGCAGGTTATTCTGGGTTCCCATACCCTTCCCTGCTGAGGAGTGGCTTATACATGGAAGCTATGTGCCTTTTTGGTAGGGGCTGCGGCAGCCTCCCTGCCCCCTGATGGAATACCGCTGCTGATGTTGGAGGCAGCAGGAGAGCCCTCTCCTGTGCTGCCAAGTAGGGCGAGAGGGGTGAGAGGTGCCCTCCCTCTGCCTCTGCTGCACATCTATCTTCGGGAGTCCCCTGAGGTTCCCACCGGTCCCGTGTCCTTCAGCTGTGCTGCAGCCAGGTGGGCCCAGTGAGCATCGCTGCTATCTCTGTCACTTGCTGCCTGGGGCACAGGAGGAGGAGGCAGCAATGAAAAACGCTGAAGCCAAAATGGTCTTGTCCTGGCCTTCAGAGAGACAGCGTGTGGGGCAGTAGCACAGATAAGATGCCTTGTACCCTGATGTCATCTTAGGCAAATATGCTTGGTTACATTGTAATGAAGTTTTATTTTTTTCCCTTCTCTATTCATACACTTATAATACCATCTGGAGAGCAAATCACTTGAAGTGGGCTCCAGTTAAAGAAGTCCATGCAGGTAGACAGCTTCCTGAACTTAGTGCTTGCTTCTGACAGAGGCACCAGCTCAGTGTTTGTACCAAGCCATGATACTGTGTCCTGTCCTCAAGGCCCAGACCACAGCCCCGTACACTTGCATTCAGTCAAAAAAGTCAAAACTGGGGGCTGAAAACCCTGCACTGAGCTCTGCCCTCATGAGTATGGCTGTGCCTAATGCCACCTTGACCTCCTCTTAGTCAGCCACAAGATGACTTAATTCAGGGCTTGAGCCATTTAATTCAGAACACTTACATAGCAAGAGGTCTGATTTGGAGGATTGAGTCTTGAAAACAACCTGAAGATCCTCTTAACCTGGGCAACATTTGAATGAACCCCAAGGGACCGAGGGCTTTGTGTGTGCCACCTGTGCTACTGCCTGAGGCCCTTCATTTAAGCTTTATTTTTTTATGAATTGTTGCCATCACAGAACGCTTCTCCCTTTCCTTCCCATCTCCTGCAGATTCTGAAGCCCTCAAGTGCCCATTCTCCCATGAAGGAGAGGTCGCGGGGTAAGTCGCTGTCCCCTCACCGAAGGCAGGCCAGCCCTCCGAGACGGCCGTTCAGAAGAGACAAATCGTGAGTACCCCTGTGCTGTCACTGCTGCCATCGCTGGCGTACAAAGTTATTTGACAGAGTACAAAATGTAGACGCTGGCATTTATAGGAAAACTGTACCAGGATCTTGACTGCCTAAGAGGCTCTCCAGTCCAGCAGTGCTGCTTGTGCCGGCGCTGCTGTGGTTACTGGCCCCTGATGGCTCCTCTGTACGGTGTCACTGGGAGCCCTGGTGACGCTTGTTTGGTTCAGCTCTACTGGGTGTTGGATGGCTGTGACAGTGGAGGTCTGGGTTCCACCTTTTATTTTTTTTTCAGTTTTTATACAGTACATTTTTGGGAGAAATGAAGAACATATCTTGGGGTGCAGAAGGCCTTTGCAGGGAGGAACGCAGTTTGATCATATTTTGGGGTGTTCAGACATACATTTTAGAAACAGAAGATCTCCCAATGGTGTGGGGTGCAGAGCTATCACCGCTCCAAAAGAAGTTGCATTTCCTGTGAGCAGCACTGGTGTTGGGCTACTATCCAGCTTAGAGGATTGTGGAAGAAGTCAGTCTTTGTCTTCTTGCCAAAGCAGAACTAGCCCTCCCATTGTAAACTTTTGATTCTAATTGGTTTAAAAAGCCAGGCTACTTCATTCATGCTTCGTAGCTATTTGTTTTTCTGCGAGTGACTGGGGAGGAATGGACTGTGACTGCAAGTGATACCTCTAAATGGACAGGAGTGAGCTGCCAGGCCTTTTACAGCCACCAGCACACTCCATACCTTAGATGCGGAAGAGTCACGCTCGAGCTGCACTGCTTCGTGCCAGGAAGCTGACAACTGTGAAAGCCCACACGTCACCCGCATTAGTCACACATTTATGATCACCTCTTTTTAAATAGGCTCCCGGACTACTGTCTCAGCACTTATTTATTTATTTTAAAGTGGCTAACAAAGACATGAGGCTAACTTTCTAAAGATAACTTCCAGATAGTTTAGCAGCAGATGATTTCACAGCAGGCTTTTATTTTAACTTGTGAATTCATACTTGGTCCACAGTGCTGTGCTTTAGATGTCATCACTGCGTGCTCCTTGCTTAGTGCGTGAGTAATTACAGTCATGGCAGGCCCTGCTCCCCCCCCAGCCTCATCTACTGGGTTCTTTTGGAGGGATGAGGTTCTCTCTGGGTTTCTCCTAATGCAGTGCAGAAGTGCAACGCAGGCATTGCAGCTTTATCTACGTTGTATGGTATTCTGAGCCAAATCCTCCATCTTATCTCATGGGGATCTTAGTGCTGGTGCTGAGAGCGGGAGTCTAAGAACAGCAAGAGATGCACTATATGAAGTTTCCAGTGTCCTTTCTTCCTCCCTCTCTTTAATTAAAGCCAGTCTGGATGGTTAGGCTTCTATAATTTTCTTCTGTTAAGTACTTACAAACTGAGACGTGTTTGCTTTTCTGTTGTGAGAATAGCTGAGAACCTGGAATGAACTAGCAAATCAAATGCTTCTATAAACTATACACTGCCAGGATTATTTAGGTTTAAGAATGTTGCTGCAGGAGCTTTTCCATTGCATGCTAAGTAGGGAGAGACTGATTGCTCAGTCTGGAAGTTTAATTTATTTGGAATTGTGAATATAGTAACAGCACGTGTTTAAGTGAGATAACTGAAGTGAATGGCTTGATAGTACCAATCTGTAAGATGCCTTGGAAGTGTAAGGTGTTCATCTCAGGCTTTCTGTTTGGCTGACTCTAGAATTTCATGCAGACTTAGGCAGTGGGAAGGAGTAGTCTGAGACTTACGTTAGCATGTGAGAGTCCTTGCCCATTGACCCTCAGCAGTTTTCATGTTGCTGCAAAAGCCAGAGGATGGACAGCTTTTCTTCGCTGGTGGTGGGCTTTAATGGGAGCTTACTTGAGTAGCTCAGGTTATGCTCGTTTATGTAAGAAATTCAGCACGCTTGTGCTTGCAGCGAGAAAACTGGATGTAGTCAGCCTTAGTTTGGAGTAAGCTGTACCTGGCTCTGCTGGTGCTCTCTGCTCCTGTGCGGCAGTGCCAGATCGCTCTCCCCTCCTCTCCTTGTAGGCCTGCGGTGGTGGACAAGAAGGGAGACCTGGCTACACTCAACGAGGTGGGCTACCAGCTCCGCATCTAACAAAGCCATAGGCTGGACAGAGGGCTTCCTCGGTGCTTCCCACTGCACTTTACCCTCACTCCACTGGAAGGAAAAAGGAACGGGACTATTTATTAACTTGTGGACACTTACAGTAAAGGTTTTATCTAGAAAATAGAACAGAGAATTTTCTTGGTGGCTGTATTTATTTTCATTCAGTTCATGAAAAGGCATTAGTGAAGAGAACCTTCACTCTATCATGTAGGACATAACAGCAGTTGTATGTGAATTTCTACAAGTAGAGTTTTGCTATGTGAGCATTAATGGAATTTGGACATTGTGCTGGCTGGTAGCTTTGGGTTGGCTACAACTCATACTCTTAGTATTAAGATGTGCTGGGTGCAGTGTTTAAAAAAAATAAATAAATCACATTCAGTATTAATAGTCGGTTCAGCAATAAAAACAACCAGTGCAGCAGTGGCATGATTTTTTGAAGTGTCAACATTACCTCACAAAACTGAATAGATATGCAAAACTGTCAGTATTACTGTTTTGTAACAAGTTTGTACTGTTTCCCAGCATTCCTGGTAGTATTAAAATGGCACTGGATGTGCCCTGCCACCTCTATTGTTGTTCTGTGCATGTTGCTGAAAGACATTAATAATAATATGCAAGTTGTATTCTTAAAAACGTTTTCTTGGGGAAAAATGAGTTTTTTAAAAAAATAATAACTGATTAATAGTGAATTTCTAATATTTCATAATTTTTTATACTTTGTCACAAGCTTTTTGTCTTTCTTGACTACACTGCTGAAGCACAAGAAGAAGAGATTGCTGGTTTTGTAGAGACAAGTGTCCACAATAATGGTTTGTTGCTTGTGTATGTTATTGCAATCATGGAAAAAACGTCCAAATTGCTGAGTCTTTACACAACTCTTTCAAGATTTGTGTGCAGCTTTGAACCTCGTCTTTGAAAGGCCAAGTGCTCTCAGATGGTGATGCCTTGACATCTTATATTAAGATCAGACATCACAGGCTGAAGTTAAGCTTCCACTGTGCTGCCGAGGGAATTTCTCTTGTATGCATTGTAATCACAACTGCTTAGTCAGACCTGAATAAGGAAGCTTGTATTGGAACAAGTTCAGCAATAAAATACATGGTGTGTCTGAAATAACCAAGAACCAGGCTTGTCTGCTTCTTCCCTCTCTGCCCTTCCACTGTGAGACTTGGCTAAGGACCTGTGATGGATGGCAGTGTTCACAAGTGACGTGGTAAGAGACTTTCATGCCTTTCACATGAATGAAGTTCTCTGGAAGCATTTGAGCGCTGCGTTCATGAAAATATTTCATTAGGTGCCTAAGTAGAAACTGGATTATTCCAAACATCCAGCCTCTACCCTTTGTGCTGTGCTTATGGATTATACTGCCATGGTCCTTGTGTACCTCCTCTTCTGGGCACGCACTTGTTTTGGAATCTCATAGAAGACAGGACATTCTAACACAGTGACAGTAATACTGAATGAAATGGAATGATGTAAGCTCCTAGAACCCTTCCTGCATCAGCCAGGAAACAAATGAAAACAGAAGGAAATGAGTGCATATACCCAAACCTCACGGCTTGCTCAGAAGAGTCAGTGAACTCATCTCCCTAGGATAGAAAGCCAACAGAGACCCAGCAAGCTTCTACAAACAGCAAAACGCTCTTCGGTAATCCTTCACGAGGCCTGGAAAAAAGGCTTTTCAAATGTATTATACTTCCTTATACAAGATTACTTGATCAGTTACAGGGAGGCCTTTCTCATCCCTCTTTCCCCACCCTTTTTCACTCCTCTGTTCACAATAGGAATTTTGGTTCAGGGGTGAAGTTGAAGAGACGGAAGAATTTTTTTTAGTAGAAATTCTTGTGTAATTTGACATCAGCTACAGACTTTGGTTTACACTTTGTGCTGCTCAGTGTCTTGTGACAGTTTTCTTCTTGTGTCTTTTAGATTTCTCATGGGTAAAATACTGTAGAAAAACTGACATGGTGATCAGCTGTATCATATAGCATGAGGGTATCTGGTATGTTTCTAGCTTTTTCTATGGAACCACAGTTTACTACTCTTTAACTCAAGAATCAGTGGTCGGTATATATCTATTACCAGGGTCCAGAGCAATCTGAGTTATTTCTTCTTAGCCTCTAACTTAGACTGAAGCTCTTTTATGCTACAGAGCTGTTCTGAGGTGGTTCTTGTTCAACTGAAAATTTCTCTTGAAACTTGCTTATGATGGCATTTGTCTTAATGGTGGTTCTAGTGGCCGTTTTGTTACCTTACTGCAAAATGGTCAAATAATGTAGAAAACATGCATGCTGTTCTTTGTTTTTTTTCATTACTTGTATGCTTACGCACAGTGTGAGACTTCAATAAAATATCATGGTAGTCTTTGTAGTGACTTAGGGTTACTTTTTGTCTTGTCTAACACTGGCTATTATTGGTAAGTGTCCAGGTTGTGATATTCCAGAGAATACCCAAGTCATTTTAAAATGTCACACTGACACAATATTTAAATACAAGACAAATAGAGAAGGTCAGAGTTGAGCACATCCAAAGCATTTGCTTTTAAATTAGTGTAAAATTTGAGATTCAGACCCGCCCTACAGCATGTTTGGAATGGCCTATGGAAGTACTTCCTGCCATACAAGAGATTGGAACTGACATGAAACCTGTCCTGTGAAAGAGCTGAGACTTTAAGCAAATACTTCTCTGAGTGCCAGACAAGGGCTGCTTAAGACCTACTTTACCTCTCTCTTCCTGTTAAATCCCTTTGCAGAGGTGCTCAAAAGTAACTCCACAATAAAATATTATTTCCAGCTCATTACAAAATTTGACATGCACACAAACTCTCCCCTTTACTTGAAGGAATGCACAGTTCTCAGAGAATAATCAGTTTTACTCAGATTTACAACAAAGACCATTTACAGCATTTCTGTGAAAAATAATGCCATTTTAAGACTGGCAGATGTTTTCCATTATCAAAGAGGAAGCTCATGTAAACTTTCTTTTCTTTTTTGCCTCAAAGAGTCATAAAGTAATTCAAACTCTTAAAAAAAGTCTCTTTAAAAAGTCTACTTTACCCAGCACTACCAAATCAGCATGCAAGCAAAACATTTAAACCGAACCGGCAGTGCTCAAACTAACTTTAAAAAATAAAAATCACATCAAGAGAGAAGGTGGGAGTAACTGTAGCTACATGGGAGGTCCTTTGGGTGTTACCGTTCAACGAGCCTGAACTCTGCGAGCAACGGCAGGTGGTCAGAGGAGTTATTTTCATTGGGAAGACCATTAACAGTCCAGAGATCTTTCTCTGTTAGAAGTGCCAGCCTTCCGAGGAGCTTCAGACCTCCGTGAAGAGAATCCTCTGTTCCTAAGTGAAAACAAACAGACAAAAACATTCACTGTAGACTAAAGTAAAAAAAAAAAAGTAATAGATGGCATTCATACATTTTCAGAAAGAACAGAACATGACAGTCTGTGGTTTTGTATGGAACAATAACCAAACAAGATGGTTTGGAATTTTTTCAATTTATTACTGTTCCCACACAGAAGGGCTTGCTCCCACAAGAGCTGCAGTACTCAGGACACAGCCCCTGCACTTTGCAGGAGGAGGAGCTGAGGTAAGAAGGGAAAGGGATTTATTTGTCCATTGTACCTTCCCTGAAAAAACCCTGATACAATCCAGTCTTATTCCTTAGCGCAGCAGCATGGCTGTACAGAACTGACATTTGCAAAATTAAGAATCTCATGAGATTTACTGGGACACACAACATTTCTATATCCTCAAGCATGCAGTTCTCCAGCAGGCAGACAATACTCTCTCTGCTGAGGATGAAAGCATTTTGGCATCTTCATTCCTAATTGCTTGTCATAAGAAATGGATCTTACCCAGTGTTTCCTGCTAACTTTTCATCATAGCCTTAAAAGAAATCTTAGAAGTACCAAACCTCCTCCCCCTTTCCCCCAGAGTAAAAGCATCACATTGGTCATGGTAGAGGGGAAGACGAATGATAGCTTTTTACAACTTCATTATTATTATTATTATTATTATTATTATTATTACACTATATTTAAAATGTGTCCTCATTAAAAACAAATAAACAAACAAACTACAAAGCAATCAGCAGCAGCAAGAAGTTTTTTTTTGCATTAAGAAATTCTATTGAGAACGAGATCCTTTGTGTTGCATCAAACTTTTAGAGTTCTCGAGCTGTCTCCTTGAGAGAGCAGACTATTCTGCACCCCTACCTGTTTGTTGCACAGAGATACTACAGAGGGAGCTGAGAGCTTTTCAGGAATGGCCCAAAACAGCAGCTGCAACTTTTGACAAAAATGTGCATGTAATGAATGTGTATGATCAGCTGATTTCAGAACTTCCAGCTGAATGTTTTAAGGGCTGGCTTACAAGTAGAACTATGTAAAGGATCGCCCAGCAACTGCTAAACTCCTTGCAGAGTTCAGGGTCTTCACCCCCTTTGCAAACTGCTAGCTTACCAGGCCTCTCACAACCCAGCAGCTGCTTTCTGCTGCCTTGAAGGAAATCCTTCTTGCTGTAAAAATATCTCAGTGTCTTTAGAGCACATGTCTGCTCAGCTCTTGAGCCAAATGTATTATTTGGCAGCACCTGCACTTCTACAAAGCAGCAGTTCATTGCTACAGAGAGCGTGGTCTGTATGCAGTGATTCATGCCAGCTCAGGGCATGCACTTTGGAAGCAACCAAATCAAATCCTGCAGCACCCAGGTAAGTACTAACTCCCTTTTCACAGAAACATTTCCAGAACACCAAACTAAGTTCTTGGGTAAGCATACCATACATTTTTAAGTCACAGAGCACTCAGACTGCACAGAACTCGGGAGGAATTTAGAGACTTCATTTGCTGTATGCGTTACGACTAACAAGACTTTGGTACATTCACTCAATGAATGTTAATGATCTAGACCCAAAGCATGAGAGATGAAGGTGCAGTTTTCATTTCAGTTACCAAGAACAACGTCAATCCACTAAAATCAGTGGCAATCTGCACTGGGAGCAGGATTAGAATCCAGGTTTCTTTGCTCAGAGTTCTGCAGAGCCATTTATCTGATGGCACTGCGCTGTGCACTCATGGCTGGTAGTGGCATGAGACACGCAGCTAACTGTAACGTGAAAAGCCTGCTGCTCAGGAGCACCACACTAACACACAACTACGATCAAAGCAGTGCAGTTCCCCACCAGGAAAAGCACCCACAGAGGCACTGCATCTTTCTTGCACCATCTGGTGAGTTTTAGCTGCAACTGCAATCAGGAGAGTGACAACTGGGCTTCTGCCTGTGCCTCCTCTCAGAGGAAAGGCCATTCACTTGACATTAATTACACCAAGACTATCTGAAAAGTAATTTTCTAGGAAGCAGCTCATTTAGCAGCTTTGGCACGTGTTAATAAAATTGCCATTTTATTGACTGAATAATTGGAAAAACGACTTTGTTGTAGGTCTGGCCGCTCAGATCCTCCAGGAGTCAACAGTATTTTCCAAGTGCTACTTACATCACTGATTTTCTGTAGCCTTAGCTCTTGGTTTCCATGCTGAGAGGGTAATTACAAGAATGTTTCTCTAGGTGAAAGAGTTTGCCCATTCCAGCTGTGGTAGGTTGACAAGGCAGCCATACCTCTGAGGTACTCGATATGGATCAAATTATCACGTTTCCCTTACAACCAGATCCAGAAGTTCCCTTTTAGCATCTCTGAAAAATAATTAAAAGTTGGTTTCTTTACCTGGTTGGGCAACAGAATCATCATTTGCTGCAGAATAGAAAATATAATCCACAGTGACTGCGCTTCGGGAGTGACAAGTTGTTACTTCTGGCAGCCCATTTTCAGGGAAGTAGTGAGAATAGACTGAAGACAGCTTAAAACAGTGCTGCAATTTTGAGGATAATCTAGATGGAATCAAAAGAAAAACATTTTATTTTCTTGCATTTCCTAGAAAAAGCCATCAAATGTTTCTTGTTCAAACAAAATAAACATCTGGATATGCAAGCAAACTGGTGTTTTCCTCAAGCAATCAGTCTCATCGCTTTTTGTGCTAGAAATGTTTATATAAGAATAGCTTATGAGAAAGGGACTGGCTGTGAAACTCATCTCTACCCGTGCCTTACTGTA